AAATGTGCTTCGCGCCACAACGGCGTGCACTTTTTCAACATCTGAACTTTCAAAAGTGGTCCGAGGCTGAAGCGTCTTGCATCGTTTTGCACATTTTGACTTCGAAATGTGCTTCGCGCCACAACAGCGTGCACTTTTGCCACATCCTAATTTCCAAAAGTGCTCCGAAAACCCCATTTTTTACAACTGTTGACTTCGAACTGTGCTTCGCGCCACAACGCCGTGCACTTTTTCAACATCTGAACTTCCAAAAGTGCTCCGAACCGTCCGAACCTATTAGATCTTTACCACTTTTGACGAAATGTGCTTCGCGCCACAGCGCCGTGCAATTGTTCATCTCTCATCTCCCCAGATGGCTCTGCGCCCGCCGCTTTAGCACGCCTACTTTTCGACCCTCCGGAGCCACAAAGCATTGGAAAAACATAGTGTTTCGCGACTTTTCTACCTTTTCGCGCAAGTGCATCTTCTTTCTTCTGATTCTTTCTCTTCTCTGATCTTCTTCCTTCTTACTTTCTCTTCTCTGACTCTTCCCACCTCTGCTTTTCCCATCTGTCCATATTGTCGGAAGTTTGACTTCTAAACTTCCTCCGATAATCCGTATTCTAGGTTTTTTTTATCAATGGGTATTTTAATTGATGGGGACTGGTGGTGAATCATGCACTGGTCATTAAATTTGTAGAGACAGCTGGATAAAAGAATGGGAATATAATGGGATATAGTGGGAATATAAGGGTGATGTCTCCACACACACACATATATATATACATACTATTATTTATATATATATATATAATCATGACATGGATTAACCAGCAAAATGCCGGTTGGTGGTTTCAAATATTGGTTTGGTAAATGAACATTTTGGGAAAGAACCGAATTCATCCACTGGTTTATCATCAGTTACCCCTTCGAAATGTCAATTTTAGTGGTATACTTCATTTTTGCACACACACACCCATTTGAATTAGCGAGCAAACATGTGGATATTGACATGTTTTACTTTTGTGTGGATCTATGTAAACAACCAAAGGTAGGAATTCTAGCAATAACAATGGTCTTGCAACTGAAAAGAAGAGGGTTCTATCCAACCAAACATGAAGATGTCCAGCAAGAGTTGCGTGGGTTCAAAACTGGTTCATACAATTCTGAAGTTTTGTCAGCCTTATCCAAAAAAGGAAAAGTGCTTCGCAGCCACCAAAAAAGATAGGGACCAACCATAATGAGATTCAGCTGGTTCATAAAGGAGCTTTTGACAAATATGTGAGTATTCAACCGCAATAGGGGTTGAATGGTTCAGAAAAGGTCACCTGGGCTACCAACCAATACAGGATAGAGATCCATTGGTTTACAACAAAATCATGTGAGGAGAGGCAAGACGGCTGGATCAACGATTGGTTAAGAGAGAGGGTTGCGAAACGAAGTCAACAGCATTGGGGATATTTCACCGACCAACATGGGATCTCACCACTGACCAAGGGGATAATGCAACAAACAAAGGTCCCCAAGTTTTGCTGCCACCAAGTTGCGAAGGCCTTCGAATCCATCCAAATGCCTGCAGCTTTCCATGTTTCTAAAATCCACCCCCACGTGTCAACATATACACTCGACTAGTACATGTTTTTTTTGGTTGTTTATACATATTTCCAATATACTGTACACAAATTTTGAAATGCACATATTTTACCATTTAGTGTATATGCATATGTATATATATATACAATGTTATATACACACATCATTCCTTTTACAACACACATGTAATTATGTATATGTATTAATACAGGTGTATATGAGATTTGCATATCTCAGATATCCATCAGCATCTCTGCATGCTGTGAGGTTCAATGGATCGATGGATCCTGCTGCAGTGCGGTGCACTACGCCCTGTCTCTGAAGCGAATGCCCGTGGTGGACTTCCTTCGTGCGCAGCGGGCCATTACGGAGGTGCAGACGTGGTCATATTATTTGCCAAGAAGAACAGGACTTAAGCAGCAAAATCAGTAAGAAATTGGGAGTCAACCATATTTATTTTCGAGTCGCTTCGCGACGCACCTAGGGAATAGGACAGAGGGGATAGGAGCAGGCCTACTTGGCCCAACCAAAGCTGACTGAGCCGAGCTTGCGCTGAACTTGGCATCTGGCTCCAACAACTGGGGTCCAACATGGCGCAACTTGCGCACGTTTGGACGCAAGTTGGGTTTAACATGTGCAACTTGGTCCTGTGTGGGCGGCCCAGACACGCCCAATCTGGGCAACATGACCTTGCACGAACCCCCATGCAAGGCAAAAAACGTTGGTAATAATAGCCAAAAGTCGATGTTTTCAGCGCGTCGCATGGAGTCTGCAACATTGGCCCGGGATCCGAAGTTGGGGCCAAGTGGGTCCAAGCTGGGCGGAAATGGAGCCCATGCCGCGGCCATGTCGGATCGAAACGGTGCATTTGGCCGATGTTGAGTTGTGCCAGTATGCAAAATGCGCGAATTACAACAGCTGGACCTTTGGCGGCCTGTCCCGGGCGAACATGGGCCCTCCCCCAGCTGAAGCTGCACCAGACTGACTGATTGGTCAATTCGTCGCATCCACTGCTAAACTACCACTCCTCGGCACCTTCGGCGTGGGCGGATTTTGTCCAGAAACTCGGATTTAACATTCATTGGTTTACCTGTATTACGCAAGGGGGAACAAGTGGGATTTCTGTAGCGGAAATCAGGAATCAGCAACCAATAGCTATGTGTTTTTTCACCAGCAACCTATTTTTTCAAAAGATGGGTTGATGGGTTTGATATGTGCCACTAGTCAAGAAGTTAAACAGCAAGAGCTACTAGCTCCAAATCTCGAAGCAGGAAGAATTGGTTGTTGGATTTTTTGCCAAAGGGGTTTGCCAAAGGGGTTTGCCAAAGGGGTTTGCCAAAGGGGTTTGCCAAAAAGGGCGGCGCGTTCTAAAAATTTGGGGGTGCAAAGACCCATAAAAAAAAGGTGAAAGGGGGAAACTAGGACAAGAGAGGTTGGAGGTTGGTTGGGAGGTTGTTATGTTTTTGTTCAATATTGTAAATCTAAATGTTTGACTGTTTCTTTTTGATTATCTTGCTAAATGTTTTGTTGAGGTTGTTGTGATAATGTTTGGTTTGGATGAGGGTAGGTTTTGTTGAGGGTGTTTTGCTTGTTATGATTTTAGGTTTATGTTCAATGTTTGTTCCTTATCTTTGATTCTTTATGTGTTGTATGTTCTGGGTTTTTTTTGTCCCTAACTTTTCTGGGACTTTCTGTTTGAATAAGGGTAGGATTTGTTTAGGTTGTTGTGCTTTAAACGTCTGGATATGAGGGGAATGTTGCGTTAAGGTAGTCTATGGTTTCTTGGTGTTTTATTCGTTTCATTTCTTCATCAGTTTCCTTTTGTTGTTCTATTTGTTTGGGTCAGGTTTGTTCAGGTTGTTTTTATGACGTTGGGTTCTTTCGTGTCTTGACATTTTGCTTCTTGAAATGTCAATCTTACAAATGGGACATTCAACCTTTTCTTTCTGTTTCTCAAGTTTTTGTCCTTTGTATTGTTTATAACGTTCCCGCTGTTTTTGTCTTAATTCTTCTCGGTGATTTTCTCTATATTGTTGTTTATCTTCAGAATATTTTTGACATAGTGCCTTTCCATTGTCAAAGTTGTCCAGCGGCTGTGTATTTTTACATTATGAACATTTCCTACCTTTATGTTCATTCATTAAAGTGTTCTGGGACTATATCTTTAAATGGGTTTCTGGGTCTCAAAGATTACTTCATAATATGTTTAAGCGGAAGTTCCACTGTTTCATGACTTTGGCAGAGCTGAATGTCCTTCAAACTCTTCTTGCACATCATCACAGCCTTGGAGTTCGTGAACAACATCCTCATTGCACCTCGTCAGCACTGGTGTTCTTGCAGTCCCAGACTTCTGCTGTCTTGTGTTGCATTGCATCACATTGCATGACATGACCTGTTGCTCATTGCATTTCGCAGCACTGGCTGTTGCTCAACATGTGCAGACAAAAACGCTAAACTCCTCATGGCTTCGAGAGCTTGGGCGTGGCTTCGCGCTAATGCAGCACCGCTGGGCGTTGGGACGCCCGTTGTCGGCGTCTTAGCCTCCTATGCGTGGAATGCAACTGAGACCCACCGGATGGCGCACAAAATCCGCAGAGGATACTTCCAACCAAAGGCAAAGGGCTACGACCACCGGTTTTGCCTGTTTGACAGGTACATGATGGAGAAAGCTTCAATGGTCGGCCTCGTTGGGTTAAAATCCACAGGGAAGTCCAGCACTCTCTCGCACTTCCTGAGAGAGAAGCCGAACCCGTTCTACCCCCGCCAGTGCAGTGGTCTCACCAAAGGCAGACCAAGCAGTGAAGACTGCGCAGAGTGTGCTGTTGGGAACGGCAAGCTCAGTCCCAATTTCCACCGGAATCCACGTCCACCAGCTCGTCAACGATGTGAAGTGGCTTTGTGCTGACGCGAGAGTGGCTTCGGCAGTCATAGCATCCAGCGAGGGCTTGGAGCTTCTGAGTGTGAATGAGCCAAGGCTTGCGAAGCTGATGGCAGAGGAAATGCCACTCGAGAAAGCCAAGGAGTACCTCCAGCACATCCACGCCAAGGGCTACACGGAAGAGATGCTCAAGAACATCCCGCGAACCTTCGAGAGCCTTCAACAGTTCAAGATAGCACAGGACAAAGAGGCATTTTGCAAGAGGGAGATGAAGGAGTGGATGAAGAGAGTAAAGGGATCTCAAGGGCACTGCTCCCACGACGACAAGGATGGAGGTCTCAGGGCCGCCAAAGCTCTCTACAGCAAAGCTCTTGGCGGAGCGGTCGGCTATGACGACATTTGCCAGCACTGCAAAGATGAGCAGAACTTCATGGCGAATTTCGTGGGACCCAACCTCTTCACCCCCGCACCAGGTGCGGAGTACAAGTTCCAATTCGATTGTGTAGCCGAGGCAGCAAAGACTGTGTTCGGCCTGTAGCCACTGTAAGTTTGAACAGGTACAGGGTTTAGAGTGAAGAGCAGAGAGATGCAAAAGTGTGGGCATCAGCATCAGAGCACACGATGATTTTGTCAAATAAGCAATATGAACAATGCTGTAGCACAGAAGTTGCAATCTTCGCGCATTGTTTGTTTCTGCGTTCCTTCATGCCACCCACCAGTTGAAGCGCTTGCGCTGAGGTATTGACATGATGGAGGAGAAGGGGGCGGACTACTCTCCCCTGCACACACACACACACATCCCACACATATAATATAGCACATCCCCCCTACCCCACTCATTCACCCCCCTGTTTGTCAGAAAGGACAGCGTCGCAACGGTCTCACCAAAATATGGGAACGGGAAAGGGCTTCAAACATATATATATATATTTAAATTTGTTGTTTCATTTTTAAAAATCCATCAACTGGGAGGGAGCGACACGCTATGGGGTGTGGAAGTTGCCAAAAAACATATCTCCCAGTTGATGGTGGCGGATTTTTTACAAGTGCTTCGCTTCAATCCTGACCTCGACCATCAACGACGTGGTTGGCACACAACTGACATAAAATGCTATGAGACTTTCCGCGCAATCTGGCATAGAATTTATGAGACATTCACGACATGAAATCTTTGAGACACCTGTAGGAACAGTATTTCAACAAGTGTCCTGAACTGCTCTTTTTTGACCCCTTTTGACACCATTTGAGGACACTTGTTAGGACACCCCATTATTCAACTTAAAACCCAAAAATACTTAAAGACATACCGCCTTATATAATTAAGAATTGAATATGCCCTGCTATATGTATATTAACGGTATGAAGCAAGAAATGGACGAAGACCTTTTCGACCAAATGGCGGCAGCACTACACCAATCCAGCAACCCCCACAATCCACCAACAGCAACATCCACAAGATGGAAACAGCCAGAGGCTATTTTAACGACTTCAAGAAGTCGTTATAAACCCGACGGAACTTACGACAAGAAACCGTTAGACCCCAATTGTTTTTCAAAGTATTATCAAAAGAGATTATCAATTCCTTTCACCTGCCCTGACTGCGGACGCACAATAACAAGCAAATCAAATCTATCAAAACACCGTCAAACCAACGTTTGTATGAGCAACAGACGCCATTGATGAAACGTTGAACTCAAACCTCAATCCCAGAAATTCCAACAGGAGACCAAAATCCAAAACTACTTAAAGAAATAGTACCTTATATAGAATAGAGAATATGGGAGAGGGTGTAAGGTTGAAAAATCAGTCTAATATTGAAAACCAACACAACCAACAATCCAATCAATCTCAACAACCTCAACAGATAAATTCAACTGAAAAACTACTTAAAGAAACATACACTAATAATAATATAGAACATAATATAATGAACACTTCAGACCAGATTGTTTTAGATTACATTTTATCAAGTGAAACAGGCGAGATATTGAAACGGAATGGAGAAGAACTTAAGAAACTGAAGATAGGTGAGAAGACCTACAACTTTGAAAGGAACAAACCCATCACGAACAGATTGAAAACCAAATTCAACAAAATTAGACAGACTATGGACTACAAAAGATACGAATTGAAAGAGAAGAGAGGCATTAGATGGATAAATTTAGACAAGAACAAAGCCTTAACAGGAATACAAAAAAGATACAAAGCAACCATCACCGACGAACAGTCAGCATTCAAGAATTATACATCATCTTGTGCCATCAGCGACATCAGGGTCAAAGGCGTCAAGGCAATACAATATCTAAAATATCAAGACTTCAAGATAAGAGAATACTTACGAAGCATAAGGGAATGAAGGTTTTATTACAAACCTTCAGCAACTTCAAGAGCAAGAAGACTAACGAAATTGTGAGAAGAGAAGTTAGGAGCAGAAGATATGAAATAACTAACGAAGACGAAATAACAAATGTATTGAACCAGATGGCAACAGACATTGAACATCAAGCGGAAGTATTAGAAATGTCTGAGAGTGGATTAGTCCTAACACAGATGGATAAGATAAAATTTAACTTTGATAAATACAATCCAACTCGTGGAGGTAAATTCATACCTTTACCTAAATGGGTTCAAAACAAAAAAACGTGTATCAACATCAAAAACGAAGATAATAAATGCTTCAAGTATTCCGTTCAATGTGGTATATGCAAAGTGTATGAGAAAGACCATCTCGAACGACTGTCTCACTACAAAAATTTAGATGATAAACTGAATTGGACCAATGTAAATTTTCCATCATCAAACATTGACATAGATACTTTTGAAGAAAACAATGATGGAAAAATAGCAGTCAATGTTTATTTTCTCAATCCTGAAGATGATAAACAGTCAATACTACTTTTGTATAGAAAAACAAAGGTTAAAAGAGCAACTCATCAAATCAGCCTTTTGAAACTTGAAGACGGGGATGACTACCATTATGTTTATATAAAAGATTATGATAAACTTATAGGAAGTCAGACCAACAAACACAATGAAAAAAAATATCATTGTTTTCATTGTAATCACGGGTTTAAATCACAAGCACTTTTAGACGAACACAGTGAAAAAGGATGTATGGCAGTTGAAGGACAACGAATAGAAATGCCATCCTTTAACCCCGATGACCCCGACAAGTTCTTCATCAAATTCAAAAATCACTATAAAAAACTAAAAGCACCGTTTGTTATTTATGCTGATTTTGAATGTTTGACAACAAGAACGGGGACAGTTTCAACGAAAGAAATGAAGACTGATAAATACCAACATCACAGACCCTGCGGTTTTATGATTAATGTTGTCAATAGCATTGATGGTTCAAACGAACCCTTCTTATAAGATTGTATGGATGTATTTGTTAAGAAGATGATTGAAGTAAAAGATAAGATAATGGATAAGATGAAAAAAAACAAGGACATAATAATGAGAGCGGATGATTGGAGAGACTTTAAAACAGCGACGAAGTGCTTTATATGTGGAATGGACTTTAAAGAAGGTGATAAGAAATGTAGAGACCATTGCCATTTTACAGGTAAGTATAGGGGATGTGCTCACGATGATTGTAATTTACAGTTTTCAATGAGATATTATAAAATACCGGTCTTCCTTCACAACCTTAAAAATTATGACAGTCATTTAATCATTGAGAGAGCAAATGAATTGAGTGAAAGAGCGAAAATAGATGTAATAGCGCTTAACAGTGAAAAGTTCATAACCTTTGCTTTTAAAAACCTTTGCTTCAAGGACAGTTTCAGTTTCTTATCGTCATCTTTGGATAAGTTAGTCAAGTTGAGTAAGTATGAGGAAGGAGAGAAGAAACCAAACTGGCAAAACAACTTCAAATATAGTAAAAGAAACCCTTATGTGAGTAATGATGAGGATTTAGATTTACTCACTGATAAAGGTGTTTATCCATACGATTACTTCAATTCATTTGATAAGTTTAGAGAAAGGCAACTACCACCGAAAGAGAAATTTTACAGCAATCTTACCGAAAGCAATATTGAAGATGATGAATACGAAAGAGTACTAAAAAATTGGGAACATTTAGGTATAAGAAATTTAGGACAGTATCACGACTTGTATTTGAGAACTGATGTTTTACTATTAACTGATGTCTTTGAAAATTTTAGAGACCTTTGTTTAGAATACTATGGATTAGACCCCACACATTACTTTACACTTCCTAACTTTGCTTGGGATGCTATGTTGTTAAAAACAGGTGTCATATTAGAACCATTGACAGACCAGACTATGTATGAAATGATTGAAAAGGGTTTGAGAGGTGGTATGTGTCAAGTCAGTCATAAGGAAGCGAAAGCAAACAATAAATATATGGAAGATTAATACGACGAAAACAGACCATCTAATTATATCAGTTATTTAGATGCTAATAACCTTTATGGACTGGCAATGTCAATGAAACTACCAATAGGGGAACTGAAATGGATTAAGAAACTTTTAAATGAAAAAATGATAATGGACTGGAACGAGAACGATGATTTTGCTTATATTTTAGATGTTGATTTAGAGTATCCAAAGGAAATACAGGACGAACAAGCGGATTACCCATTAGCACCTGAAAATATGAAGGTTGAAGAGAAACTACTTTCAAAGCACCAAAGGGAACTACATAGACATTACTATAATGGTAAGGAGGCAAGGGATGAGAAACAACCAAAACTAATCCTAAACCAAATGGATAAAACCAACTATGTAGTCCATATCAAGGCATTACAGTTTTATCTTCAAAAGGGTATGAAAATCAAACAAGTTCATAGAGGGGTGAAGTTCAAGCAGAGATGTTGGTTGAAACCTTGGATAGATTTTAACACTGAAAAGCGAAAAGTGGCAAAGAGTGATTTTGAGAAAGACATGTTTAAATTGATGAACAACGCTGTCTATGGAAAAACGATGGAGAATGTCAGAAACCATATAGACTTTGAATTAGTATCAACGCAGGAGAGGATACAAAAATGTATCAACAATCCTAACTACAAAGGATGTCATATTATAAATGAAGAACTGGCAGGAGTGGAAAAAACAAAAACCGTATTGAAGTTGGATAAACCTATCTATTTGGGAATGTCATTTTTAGACCTTTCAAAGGTTCATATGTATTCGTTCTACTATGATGTATTAAAAGCAAGGTATAAGGATGATGTAAGACTGATATACACTGACACCGACAGTTATGTTATACAAACTTTCACCGAAGACATCTATGAAGATTGGAAAGGAATAAAGGATTATATGGACTTCAGCGGCTATGATAAAAACCACCCTTGCTATGATACCACTAATAAAAAAGTCCTTGGAAAGTTCAAGGACGAGATGGATGGAAAAATCATCACAAACTTTATTGCTTTGCGTCCTAAAATGTATTGTCTAAAAGTCTTCAACGAACAGAAAGCAGAAAAGAAAGCAAAGGGTGTTCCAAAACTGAAAGTTAAACGGGATTTAGATATGAATGAGTAAAGCAAAAATTCAGGTTATAGATAGAGATAATATCGGTATATATGCTGACTTTGGTAGTGAAAGCGAAGATGAACACGAATGTGATAGACAAGCAATAGAAAAAGAAGATGAAGAGATTAGAGACTTTGTAAAGTGTCATCCTATGCCTTCACCAGATGATGAGGAAGGAGAATACTGGTGGTTTAAAGTAATTGATAGGCTGAAAAACGACCAAGGAATAAATGGAATGATAATTGTTTCGCTTATGAGATTTGACATTATAAAAAGAATGTATGAAAACCTCACTAACAAAACAATTATCGTTGAATGTGGTAAGGAACTTAACCGTGATGGAAAATGGGATGCTATTGCAATAAATCAAACTCTATTAGCATTAGCAATAGATGAACTAATTTTAGATGATACAGACGAGCCAACTATCACAAGTCAAGTCAGGATAATTGAACCCTGGTGGGATGGAATAGGAAAGTGGAAAGCATAAATGATTAATTCATAATATCTTAACAAAACATATTATGAAGTAATCACCCACCCATACACAAACATAAACCCCAACAGCCTAAACAATTATCCCCCTCATCTTAAACCAAACCATCAAGTGAAAGTTAGGGGCAAAATAGTCCCAAAACCCCCACCACATAAAACATCAAAGGTAAGGAAGAAACATTGAACAACAACATAGAAACCATAACAGGTAAAACAATTCAACACACAGACACAAACCTAAAGAAAAACATGACAACCGAGCAATGAACAAACAAAAAGCAAAAATAATGAAACAGGAAACGATGAACACTTAAGAAGAAAATAGCCGCAGAAACCCCACCTGAAAAAACATCAAAGGAAAGGAAGAAACATTGAACAAGAACATGAAAACCAGAACAGCCTCAACAAAACCCACCCTCATTGAAACCAAACATTATTACATCAACCTCAACAAACATTTAGCAAGATAATCAAAAAGAAACAGTCAAACATTTCAGATTCCAAGATTGAACAAAAACATTACAGCCTCCCACCTAACCTCCAACCTGTCCTGTCCTAGTTTCCCCCTTTCCCCATTTTTTCCCATGGTTTTCCCTGGTTTCCAGACTGATCCAATTTCTGGCCCAAAAAAGGTCCAAGTGTCCTCCCCTGGCTGCAGGTGCCCTTGAAGCACAATAGCCTGCAGGATGTCGCCCAGTACCTACTGAAAGCCGTGCAGGAGAAAGTGGTTGCTGATGATGATAAGATTGAAAAAATGATAGTGACAGTGATAGTGATACTGATACTGATACTGATAGTGATAGTGATAGTGATGATGATGATGATGATGACGACGACGATGACGATGATGATGACTATGACTATGACGATGGCGATTATGACGAAGACAACTTTCACCTGAAAAGCATCAGGCCCCGCAAGTACCCAAAATTTGGTGGCCGATGCTGTCAGTGGTTTCAAAGGTTAGGGTTTGATGTGTTATTTTTTTTTTTGAAAACAAATTAACCCAAACAAATTTACAGGGATGGCAAGGGTCTAAAAATTCGTTTTGGAGACGATCTTTTTTTACACAAAAGTGTTTTCCTGGTTGTTCTTCCTATCCGCGCGAGAGACCTTTATTTACGTGTTCACCACGATCGGATCTGAGGGGATCGGGAGCTTCAGGTTGCCGTTGTGTAGCCGCTGGTGATGAAGCATTGCAATGGAACACCTTCATATTCATTTAAACAATGTTCCAACCCCCTGTTGATGATTAGAGCGGATCAAACTACAAGATATTGATAGATATTGGGGATTGCTAGAATCCATTAGGGGGAATCTCTATCCGCCAACCAGTATCAGTCAGGGACACGACAGGCTTTTGAACACTGTTCAAAAAAGTGATAGGAAAATGATCTATAAATGGTTTTCCATCAGAAATGGTCAATTATTGCCAGACAAAAGCGGAGGGTTTTTTCTGTTACCAGGAGGGATGCTGTGGTGCCGTTCACCGGGGTGCAGATTCCCTGCGCAACATGCAGGCAGGGGGAGCCCCGGCCACAGTTGTTCATCCAATAAACCATGCTGGATGACTTGGGTCACCATTAATATACATATATAATAATATATAGATGGATGGATAGATGGATATATATATATATCCTCATCATAAGGTCTCCATAGCCTTTCAGATCCGGGATCTGGATTGGATGACGGCAGTTTCTGAAGAAGCAAAGCGACTCCATCGCGGTCAAGGAAGTTTTAAGGCACCGGTTTTGGCGCTGGTCATCCCAGGATGAAACTGGTCATTGGTTTTTTGCAATGCAGGCTTTGCAAAATTCAGAGCACGCTACAAAGAGGAAAAAGCATGGAAACAAAAACCATGTTAATATATGTTAAATGTTTGTTTCTAACAGGACCCAGTTGGGAATTCTCGTTTGCTGTACTGTTCTTGCATCGTCAATTCATCGCCCAGATTTCTGGGTTTGCTCAGTTGATGGCCCTGTTAGCTGGCGTACTGATTCCATTTTTATCTTTGGGGTATAGTTTGCTGTATATATGTCCTATATATGTCCTATATATGTCCTGTATATGTCCTATATATGTCCTATTTATGTCCTATATATATATAGAGAGAGAGAGAGTTGAAAACTGGATGGAAACTCAAGGTTTCAACCCTGGCTATGGCTCAACAATGTGGCACTTTCCAGGACGCGCAAAGTGATGCAAGGTTCAAAGTGGCTCATTCTTAGGAGTACTATCAATAGTCCATTTCGAGGAATTCATCCCAATTTACTTGGTCAGAGATACTGGGCTAGGACTGGCACTGATACCCCAAAACTCGATGGTACAGTTACCCCTTTATCCTCAAGATCTATATTTGGTACCAAACCAATTTTGGGTATTGAGAATCTTGACCCATATCCTTTAGTACTATCATTGATCCACATATTCGTATCATATCCGTTTGACACATCATCCATTTTGAGGGATTCATCTCGAAGTCATCACCACAAACCATTACCATCTTAGCTAAGAAACTGGGGCACCTGCCGCTTACCTTGATGGGGGAGATTCATCCTTGGAAGCCAATGGTGATATCGCCAGGGAGCGCTTCGGGCCTTCCAGATGGACTTTGCTGCACTATGCTGTGAAGGTCTTGCGGAGTGCAGACCCTGCGGGACAGGCTGAGTGCACCAGAGTTTGTGGAATATGCCTTGCAAACATCGAGATAGATCGAGATTTTCAGCAACAAGACATAAGAAGACATTGGATGTCCATGGACCATGGATTTCCAATCAAGGAAAAGTGGGAGTTAAACGACAAACATTGGGACTGAAACCAACAAGAATTGTGCGATTTTCGCACCAAAAAGGGTCGATTTAGCCACTCAAATGGCGCACATATGAACCAGTCGCCAGTCACAAGTGCATCATGCGACAACTGGAGGTTTCACCCTTGTTGCATGTTCAAAGCTGCGCCAACAGATCCTCCACTGTCTTTGAGGCATTGTGTTGGCTTTCTTATAGAAGTGTCTTCATATGTATCTTCAATTAATGTTCATTGCAAATAGGACTGCCACCCACAGAGTGCGATAGCCCTGATTTTTAGCGACACATTGCTTGGATCCAACTCCCCAACGTTTGACCGCAGGTCTGTCGCGCGCTGCTGCAGGCCAAAGCAGACCCGCGGTTGCTCTGCGCGGACGGCGAAACGCCTCTGCACTGGGCCTCATCGTTGGGACAGCAGCAGGCCTTTGGTGTCACTGGGAAAGACTCATGGCCATCAAACAATAGCAATAAATAGGGATAATGATGATAAGGATGAGCAACCAATGGATGGAATAGGCTACCCCATGTTTGATACACCCAATGTTTGGGGATACCATTGAGACACCCAGTTCTAGCATGTTCTAGCATGTTTTAACGCATATCCCTAGCCCAGGTTGGATGCCTTTTGGGGGATGCCCAATTTCAAGCAATATCTCAGTGACATCCCGAAAAAGAGGCTGGTAAATCAATATGATTGGCAAACACCCTGGTTCATTTTGATACATATTGATAGCGATGCCAGACATGACAAAATCCATGGCAAATAATCATAGTAGCAATAGTCACAAAGATGTTAGCACGGACAACAGTAATAGCATATGATAGTAGCATATGACAACAACAACAACAACAACAGCAGCAACAACAACAACAACAACCACAACAGCAACAACAACAACAAAAACGCAACAACAACAACAACAACAGCAACAACAACAACAGCAGCAACAACAACAGCAACAACAACAGCAGCAACAACAACAACAGCAACAACAACAACAAGAACAAGACATATACAATGAATGAATATTCAATATCAATATCAAAACATAGATATTACATGATATTACATCTTAAGGTGAATATTTAAATGGGTATGGGTCAATACCTATAGATACATTTTTAGTGGGTTATTCACATCCATAAATCCCAGCTATTTTGGGGTTCACGGCACGGTACCAGGGTTTTGACCCATCCCCAAATATGTCTTAAGGCATCAGCCAGGTCGCTTTCAGATCAGGTCTTCGATGCACTGGCGCAAGGGGCCCTCCGCGCCGAGTCGGAGGATCAAACGTTGCAGGCCATGGGACGAGGACTTGGACCCCCACGGGGGCCCCACGGGAGCTGTTGGGGATGACTGGTAATGGCTAAAGTCATGACTGGTGAAGTAATTATGTATACATATATATATAAGTATAGACTGTATAGATATAGAATTATGGTGAATTATGAATATGATGATGTGATATGATGTGTAAAGTACTTGACATGGTATTTTTATGATCATATGTTATCATTTGGATGTCTATGTGATTTTGTTTGGCATGTGCTGAATCCGTTTGAGTCGAATGGTACTTTACAAATGGTACGTTGGATTTATCATTGTTTGAGGCGTGGTTGAGGGACCTATCTTGTCAAGTAATCGGAAAAGGATGATACAAATGTCACGAACCGACACGTAAAAAGCAGCAATTCGCCATTTGGTTCTGCAGTGTCAGTGTTCCTTTTTACACTTGGAACATTTGAGTGTCCAAAGATGGTAAGATTCCGACTAGACCTTGTAATTGCATGGAATTGCGAGGAGAGGAAGTGGATGTCAGTCTTCCAATGGCTGAAGTGTTGGTGAGTGAGACCCAAAAGGCTCGTGGCCAGAAACCGGCGCCTAGCACCATGGGGAAGATCTCGTTTTCACCGGTTTTCGTTTTGTGCGAAAGGGTGGATTCATTTGTTCATCTCAGTTCGGCAGTGGTTTAGGACCCGAAAGCGGTTTATCTCCTACGATGGATTCCACCGAATTACCTCCGATTCATAGGAAAGAATCTGGCTAAGACATGCTAAGACAACTTATACCCACCCAAATGACTGCTGGTGCTGTTACAGTTGTTACAGGCACTGAAGCGACAGCTCTTGCGGGTGGAAACGGAGCATGGGGTGGTGGCGAAGCAGAAGAACGATGATGACACCTGGCTGCAGTGTGATGAAGCCCAATGAGCCGATATCGTTTGGGATGTGTCGAAGTCAATCAACCCATTATTATGTTGTATATTGTTACATAAATCTTACTAGAGAAGCAATCAACTAAGAATGACTTGCCAGACAAGCTACCTGTCTTCCCAGCTGCATGCACTTGGTCCGTTGGAAATCGGCTAAATGTGATCCCTTTAACTTCAGCCTACCCGAACCGGTGATCAAACGTGGCAATGGGAAATGCCCTATAGTTTTTTCCAACATCATCTATAGATTGGAGCTTTCCATTACCATGTGTGACTACCAGTACCATAAAACGTGTTGTTCTTTGGCCAACCATTTTCATGGCGCCCTCACACTTATATAACATTATAACCCTGTCCGTTGTGAGACAAAGGCTTAGGGGATCCCAATTTTAATGGATGTTCCATAAATTTTAATGGATGTCCCATTTTTATGGCACTTAGATACCATCATTTTAATGGCTTTTTAATGGATGTTCACCATTTTGACCTGTTCTAAGTGCCATTTTTTAATGATGGTATCCCACATTGACAAAGCCATGTGAGGATGCGATACCCTGGCTGCAAGCCGGGCTGCTGGCCTTCAAACATGCCGTGCTCTGCAAGCGCTTAGTCTGCAGGGATCCACAGGTCCGCGTCTTGGAAGCTGAAGAAAAATCGCTTCCCCCAGCCCTGAAACACCCCCAAGAAAGCATGGTTCTTCATAGGGGATGAAACCACTCTACATATATTTGAGACCATAGAAACTCATATAGAATGGTGGTGTAACTAATATGAAGGGGAGATGGGAGTGGGATTGGATTAGATAGGATAGGCAGATACGATCGATGAGGCGACATCAGATTGGATAGATAGCTAGATAGCTATGTTGTTTGATGTCTATGAATGAACGCCCTCGAATGTAAAGACGAACATGTTTAATGACGGCTTTTTTCGCCGAGTTTCGGCTCAGCTAATGGTAGCCTGCGCTGACTGCCAACAATATTTGGCAGACATCGACGGGACTTGCCCTCTGTGCCGGGCTCTGCGGCGCCTTAGCCTCGAGGCTAGGAGCTTGCCCGTGGCCCTCCGGACTTGGGCCACCGACCAGGCCAGGGTGTGGGTATCCCTCTTACAGGAGGAGAGGCTCAAATTTCTGATCTGCAGCCAGCAAGCCGCTGAACGGCAGGCAGTTGCTGCATCCACTCCCAAGGCCAGCTCTCCCGTGGTTTTTGGGGAGCCCACTCCAACTACCACTCAGGAGACGCTGCCGGCCGCGACAAAAGAAGAGCCCGCAGCTGAGGGCGAAGGGAGACTTGCGTCTCCTGAGAAGCCAGAAGAGACAAAGGAAAGCCAAGAAAGTCAAGCGCCAAGCAGTCCAATAGAAATTGCCGTCCCAGAAGAAAAAGCCGAGGAGAAAACCGAGAAGAAGCATAAAGATAGCAAGAAACACAAGGAGAGATCCACGAAAAGGAAACCTTCAGAGGAGTCTTTTAGCAGGAAACGAGAGGTCACCAAAAAAGAGAAAGCCAAGAAGAAAAACAAGAAAAGTCGGTCAAGGAAGAGGAAAGCTAGTCCATCACAAGAGAGAAGGGAGGAGCGCTCGAGGTCCAGTCGGAGTCCCATTGTGAGGAGCTCTGCCGCCCGAGGACATCGGGACAGGACAGCTCGCCCTCCTGAACCTGAACATTCGCCGTCGGGGTGGAGCGATCGTGGTTACGCCCAACGTGGGTGGCACTACTACGGTGGCTATAGGGGTCAGCAACCCCGGAGAGAAGGAGAGGACGCCTGGGGTGAGAACAAAGGAGTGAAGAAGCGAGAGAAGCAGAAGGCCTGGAGGAGAGGCCGCTACTATCGTTGATGTCAGTGAGGGCCAGAAGGCCTGCAGCAGCTGTGAAAGCTGCTCCCAAGGCGAAAGTCAGAGCACGTGCAGTGCTCCGTCGCCCCGCGGCTGTTGCGGGAGAAGAAGACTTGGCGATAGAGGATAGATTCAAGGGAGGAGGTTTCGTTGAGGCAGACAAAACCCCTCCTGATCTCCTGATTCAAGGTACTCCTATTGTTGTAGAAGGGGAGTATTGGGGAGGAAAGTGCAAGCTGTGTGGTCTGATACAAGGACTACAGGTGAAGGGAGCTGGTGATTCTGAAATCACCCTTAGAGCAGAGGGAACCGATCACGAAGAGCTCCTGAAGTGGATTTCGGGAAACCCTGGCACCTTAGTTCGCGTCCATCTGTGTGGGAAGGCATGTCTCAACAAGGTGGATTCGAATGGACTGGTTCACGGCCAGCAAGTGAGGCTGAAGTCCAGAGAGGACGAAGGAGGTTGGGCCGAGAACCTCAAAGGGAGCCTAGACGAGCTGGCGCAACTGAGGAAAGACGCTCGCCAAGCAGGAGAGAGAGAGCCCGAAGCGCCAGAGAGGCGAGAGGAGAAGAAGCAGAAAAAGAAGAAAAAGAAGAAGGTCAAAGAGTCAGAGAGTTCAACCTCGAAGGACAAGAAGAAGGCAGCAAAGGAGGAGAACAGGAAGCTAAAGTCCCAGAAGGACTTGAAAGTTGTCTTTGGCACTACGGGGCTGGATCCAGACGTCAGGGTAAGGAAACAAGTGCGAAGAAGAGTAAAGAAACGACTAAGATCCAAGAAGAGGAGAGAGGAGGAAAGTACAAGCAGCAACGGCACATCAGAGGGGAGTTCTGGCGTGGACTCCTTAGGAAGCGGGGACTCGGGGGATATCTTCGAAGAAGCACACAAAGTAAGGACAATTGCAAAGCGGGCCCCGGGAGCGTTGACGTGCAGCATGGTGAGAGGAATGCAACGGCAACTCCTGACCGCCTCGGGCAGTGTGTGGGATCAGGATACGGGGGCTGTGCCCCCAGTGGCTTTGCAGTTCTTCCGGAACCAGCTGCAAGGCAAGCTCTCAGGAGGAGCAAGCAGGGAAGCGCTCACCTTGTGTTGGGCCTTGGACTTGGGCCTCCAAGGCAAACTGGCAGACATGATGGACTGTCTGTCCCAGCGACTGAAGAGCGTGGAGATGACTGCCAACGGAGGGAGCTGGATGGTATCCCAACGTGTGGAGGTGGTACCACCCGACAAGCCCCTGTTGGCCAGCCGCGCCGAGGCGCAGGCCGCTGCAAAAGAAAACAAAGAAGAAATGAAGGTCAGGGCTCTGACCAAGGGCAAAGAAAAAGGAAGAGGAGAGAACCCAGGAGGATGGAGACCGATGGGAAAAGGCGAACAAAAAGGCAAAGACAAGGCGAAAGGAAAGAAAGGAGATCGAGAGGATGGCAAGAAGGGCTCCTAGGTCAGGGAGTCGAGGTGGTAGAAGGCAAAAAGAGGCGCGTTGGCGAACAGCTCCTGGCACCATATAAGGGAGCTGATGCATGTCCCCCCTGTGACCCTAACAATTTCCAGGGGATGTCCCCAGGGACCGGACATCCTGCCGAAGAGCAGGAGAAAGGCCCATGGGAAGAAGTCTTGGCTGTAGCTGAGACTTGCACAGCAGCGTTGCCCAGTTGGGGGTTAGCTGGCAGCGACAATTCTTCAACCAACGGGACTGCCACTGAGAGGGAAAGGGCGCTTTCCGGCCGTTGCAGAGGTGACATTAGGACTAGTCACCCGGTAGGCGCCAGTGGACCTCTGCGTGAGAGTGGTCGTACAAAGAGAGATCCGGCTGAGGGGATGTCAGGGTTTGGGTTGAGTGAACCAAACCTTTCTGGGAAACCTTTTTCTTCCGCCGCACCTGTTATTCGTTCCCTGCTGATCGAAAACTCAAAGGTAATTAACCATGGTCTGCACGGCAAGACCCAGCCCAAGGGTGACATTTTTCCGTTACCCACCAGCTCGGAATTTTTGGCAGGTGTGGTTGGACTTCAAAATGAGGCACTAGACTTGTTGGTAAATATTTGCCTCGGTCTAAACAGCTATGCTGGGGTGTCGGTAGAAGGGGAGAAGAAGGTTTCTCCTGTACAAAAGGACCTCTTACGGGAACTTAGGTCAATTGTCAATTCAGTTTGCGGTTGGAGTGAGTGTTTTGGAGAAATTTCGTGGCAGGAGTTTTTCAAATGGCGCAGCTTAGACTATGTGGGAGATGAAGTAGCCACGGCTCGTATTACCTCCTGGTCAAACCTTAGGTCGGCCATTCCCACCGAAGTGGGAGGCGTGGAGCTCGCTGATGTGGTCAGTGAGGGGTGTAGACATTATGTGCTCAATTTCGAAGACTACCTGGTGAGCCAGGACAGTAGGGTTTACACTCGCCCTCCAAGGGTAATGGTCAGCGATCAGGACTGGGATGAGCTATGTGATGGGCTCATATCTACCGGAATCTGCGGCGTCATGCCAGAACACGAGCTATTCCAGGTGGAAGGAAAGCCACTCCTAAACGGACTCTTCGGGGTCTCAAAAGGGGAGTCGGTTGAAGGCCATGAAATTCATAGATTAATCATGAATTTGGTTCCACTCAACCAAATATGCCGTCCCATCCAAGGAGATGTAGCTACTCTGCCCGCATGGTCTTCGGCCAGCCCGCTGTATCTGATGCCTACAGACCAGTTGCTAATATCCTCAGAAGATGTTAGGTGTTTTTTCTACATCTTCAGTGTGCATTGTTGGCAACGGTTTTTGGGTTTCAACAAACCCGTTTCGGGAAGGTTTCACGTTGGCAAGCCAGGTCGGCACTACCTCGTGGCTAAAGTATTACCCATGGGGTTTAAGAACAGCGTGAGTCTGGCCCAAAATGTGCACCGAAATATCGTCAAAGGGGCAAGGGCAAAGGTTGAAGGCAGGCTCGGAGGTCATCAAGAGCTCAGAAAGGATCGGGCTTCCCCCAACACAGAGGTCATGCACAGGGTCTACCTTGACAACTTCGATGAGCTTGAGAAAGTTGACAAACGCATGGCCGAGGTCATTGTTGGAACTCCTAGTCCATCCATTCTGGCCCTAAGAAGCGAATATGAGCATTGGGGAGTTCCGCGCCACCCAAAAAAGGCGGTCCAACGGGCCACACTAGCCGAAGTCCAGGGGCCCATTGTGGACGGCGAGCGAGGCTGTGCTTACCCAAAGCCAGAGAAAATTCTTAAGTATTCGCAGTTGGCACTCCTAACCGTACGTACGGGGAGGTGCTCGCAAAAAGAAATGCAAGTGATCGCCGGTGGACTCGTCTACCTGGCCACTTTCAAGAGGGCCCTGATGGGAAGTTTGAACGCCATTTGGCAGTTCATTGAAGAGTTCAACAAGTACCCACCAGTTGTCCGGTTGGAAATCCCACGGGTGGTGAAACTGGAGATAGTTAGGCTTTTGGCGATGATGCCTCTGGCGCAACTGGATTTCAGGTTGGAACCGCATGACCAGGTCACTGCAAGTGACGCTTCCACCACTGGTGGGGGGGTTACAGTTAGCCGCGGATTAACCAACGTCGGGCAAATGGCAGCCTCCTGTAGTGTGCGGGGAGACGTAGCCTCGGTAGACGACATGACTCAAATCCTGACCATTGGTTTGTTCGATGGAGTGGGCGCTCTGCGGGTGGCAGCTGATGCCGCAGGTTTGCCAGTAGCAGGTCATGTGAGTGTTGAGGTTAGTGCGGCCGCATCACGAGTCTTGGAGTCCCGATTTCCAAGCAGTATACTGGTGTCGGATGTTGAAGCCGTTGACCTCACTATGGTGAAGGATTGGGCTGGGAAGTTCACTCAGGTCGGTTTGATAATTCTGGGGGGGGACCCCCATGCCAAGGCGTCAGTGGGTTAAACGTCGACAGGCGCGGAGCCCTTCGTGATCACCGTAGTAAACTGTACGTGCATGTTACGCGTATTAGAGAACTGGTGAAAAAAGCTTTCCCGTGGGCTCAAGTTCACACACTCATGGAGTCAGTCCAGTCCATGGATGAGGCTGATCGGGAAATTATGAGTGAATCCTTTGGCAGTCAACCCTGGGGCATTGATGCAAAGGGAGTCAGTTTGGCACGCCGGCCCAGGTACTATTGGATTACATGGGAGTTGAGAGACTCCTTGGGTGTTGAGCTGAGTCCTCCAAGCACAGGGGGGGCGTTGTCATATGGCACCGTTACTTTGTCAGGGGACGTGCCAGCGGACTCCTATTTAGTTCCTGGGTGGCGACGGGCCTCTGATGAGCCATTCCTGACCTTCACCACATCCAGGCCCCGCAGTTTCCCGGGCCGAAAACCTGCAGGAATTGACAAGCTCAATGAAACTGAGCTGGCTCAATGGAAGGCGGACCAGTTCAGGTTCCCCCCGTATCAGTACCGGTTGTGCTACCAGGTTGTCCGTGGTAGCGAGCACAGACTACTCAATGTGGAAGAACGTGAGGTAATAATGGGGTTCCCTCGTCACTACACTGTCCAGTGTTTACCAAAGAGCAAGCACAACACGTCGGAACATCAAGACTTGCGGCTTACCTTACTGGGTAACTCATGGAATGTGACGGTGGTCACATGGCTGTTGGGACAATTATGTCATCCGCTTGGTATCATTCCACCGTTGAGTGTTCAACAGTGCATTGAACGTACTGCCCCAGGGGCCAACCACGACCTCGCTAGCTTTCTGTCACGGCCACCTATGGGGGGACCCAGGAAGCCTTTAAGGCCTGGTAATGAATTGGCCCTTGTCAAGAAACTACTCAACATGGTCAGTATCAAGGGAGAGGACATTCTCCTATCATCTTCTAGCGAAGAAACACTCCGCTACCATCGTCTCAGAGCGAGCATACCATCAAATCTGTGGGTATGGCGAACCATTTGTGGGTGGCAGTGGAAAGGGAGTAAAGAGCACATCAATTGTCTTGAGCTCAGGGCAGTTTTGTGTGCACTCAGATGGCGTGTGTTAAAGCAAAGGACCAAGAAGCAACGGTTGGTTCATTTGACCGACTCGCTGGTGTGTCTACACACCCTCACACGAGGGCGAACCAGTAGCCGTAAGCTAAGACGTACGTTGGCCAGGATTAACTCTCTGCTCCTCCTGTCACAAAACGTAGCAGTGTGGACGTACATCCATACTGCTTTGAACCCCGCTGATGCCCCTTCAATTGGGCGACTGTGCAGAAAATGGGGAAGAAAGTAGCCCTTCATCTAGAAGGGAGGAGTAAGACAGAGAGAAAGGCCGTCAGGGCCCGCCTAGGCAGCTTGCGTCAGCTTACGGTACAACCCAAAACTCGTGAAAGATACACCAAAGCAGTTAACCGCTTCTATAGGTTCTTGAATGAGCGCCAAATTGAGCTCCCACGCCAAAGAGCAAACTTGGATCCCTTGGTTTCAGACTTTTTGGAGCATATCTGGAGCGAAGGGGAGGGACGCAGCCTGGCATCGGATACCTTGGCGGGCCTGCAAGACCGTGATCCTCGCCTCAAGGGGCAATTGGTCTGTAGCTGGCGCCTGCTGCGAACGTGGTCAGCCAATGAAATTCCGGCTCGGGCACCCCCTCTCAGCGAACAAGCGTTGCAAACGCTGGTAGGTCATGCACTGTTTAATTCCAACTATACCTTTGCGCTCTCCCTCCTAGTGGGATTCTTTGGGCTCCTGCGTACAGGGGAGCTTTTGAGTCTCCGCAATAAAGATATCTCACAAGCCTCAGCAGAGTCCGTGGCAGTTGTTTCGTTGGGGCTTACAAAGGGAGGGAAACGAGCAGGCGCAGCAGAGAGCGTCACCATCACAGAGGCGGATACCCTTCGTAGGTTGTGGCAGTGGAAACAGTCTTGCTCCCCAGGAACTTCGCTCTGTAGTGCCCCCCACAAGTGGAGAAAACAATTTAATGATTCAATTGAATCCTTAGGGCTTACTGCATACCAGTATAGACCCTATAGTCTGCGCCGGGGTGGCGCAACTTTCTACTTTCAACGCCATGGTCAACTAGACCGCCTCCTGATTCAGGGGAGGTGGCAATCAGCTAGAACCGCAAGGATGTATATTGACAGTGGCATCGCCACTCTCGCTGAAACAAATCTGAAATTGACCCCTCATGCACGAGTGTTTCACCAGCAATTCCTTAGAGCCAAAACTTCTCCCTTGCCAAAACTTGAGCATGCCACTCGTGGCAGGGCAGGGGGAAGTGGGAGTAAAACTTCCAAGAAGAAATCGTTGGTTAAGAAGAGAGAAAACAGGTAGGCGGACTGGTCGTTCCCCGGCTTGGCGGGGCCCAGTGCTACCTTCACTCTGTGGCTCATGCCCACCTCGGCTTGGCGAGGGGGTATGGGGGGAGTGACTGAAAATAATTTTCAGGGAGGATGATGGTTAACAGTCCAATTTGGACGGTGCAGTACTTTTGGAATTTTATAACCTATTTTCCTTTTCAATTTATGACCAAATAGGTCTTGCTGTGCAAAAAAGGGGCAGACAAACTTGTGAGTCTTTGAATGAACGCCCTCGAATGTAAAGACGAACATGTTTAATGACGGCTTTTTTCGCCGAGTTTCGGCTCAGCTCCCACAACCACCCTCCACATGGGGAGTAAAACTTCCAAGAAGAAATCGTTGGTTAAGAAGAGAGAAAACAGGTAGGCGGACTGGTCGTTCCCCGGCTTGGCGGGGCCCAGTACTACCTTCACTCTGTGGCTCATGCCCACCTCGGCTTGGCGAGGGGGTATGGGGGGAGTGACTGAAAATAATTTTCAGGGAGGATGATGGTTAACAGTCCAATTTGGACGGTGCAGTACTTTTGGAATTTTATAACCTATTTTCCTTTTCAATTTATGACCAAATAGGTCTTGCTGTGCAAAAAAGGGGCAGACAAACTTGTGAGTCTTTATATATATATATATACATACATTATATATATATATATATATGTATACAAAGATGCATAGATACATAGATACATAGATAGATAGTCTATGTTCGTGCCGTGTTTCTGATGGGTCACATCTTGGAAGCATGTTGAACTGGCAGGAGACCAGTCCGGGACCTAGTCCCCAACGCCTCACCTCTGCAAAGCTTAAGGCAGGGTTGAACTTCTGGGGTGTGGTATCATTCATCAATGGGCAGCAATCCACCAACCCTGAGTATATGTTTGGTGCTTGTCTGAAAATTAGAGGAACACCTATGAAATCCCTTGGTGAATCATCCTCCAGTCCCTATGAAAATCGCCTCTGGGAATCACCCAACTGAGTCCCCCGGAGCAGCAATTTTGGATAGGGATTGCATTTCCTGGTATCTTGGCACAGTGTCAACTATATTATACTGTATCTATGTTTGCTGTATCTATAGATAATATCATACAAACATGATGTTTTTTTATCACAATGTACATATCCGCTATATTTATATATACACATGTATATATACAGATACATATACATGTACATGTATCCATATATCATACGTTCACACATCCAGTTTCCCATGGACTTAGTTTGGGCAGGTGGAGGCCTTGAAACGCTCAGCCTCAAAGACATTCGGCGGGGTCCACCTGGTTGCGCCATTCGGTGGGGTTTGTCATATGGAAAATGACGATTTCAATAGGGGGAACATGTGTTAAAATTCAAAAAATGAAATACTGTAGGGGTCACCTATTTTTAGACATACCCCTGGTTTCTTGTTTATGAATGTTTTTTGCTTTAAAAAAGTTTGTTTGAAAAAAAAGGAACGGATTCCGGGCATTGGTGGTATATGTGCATTCTGTATGGTGATGGTAAAATCATAGATGTTCATGTCACCAGTTGCATTCCGGAAAACAATGGAACATATATGATCATATATGTAATATATGTAGATCTCTGCAATATTAAGTAAGTCACTTTACGAATGAGGTGAGCTGAAGTTTCAGATGGAATGAACACAAATTCCACACCGAAGTGGAGTTTTCCTGTCCTGGTTGGTTCCATAGGTCAGAAACTTGACAGAACGGTCACAATGAAGTTTTGAACACATCAAATTTCCATCTATTTGAGGATCAGTATCGTTCAATCTCGCACATTCAATGCGGGTACTCCAGCGCAGGCACTTCAATGACAAATCCGAGCTTTCATCCAAATCTATTTTTTGGGGGATTGTCATTTTTCCATCATTCCACGATCATTAGCTTAATCAGTTTGCTGGCACCTAGACAATACTTAGTAAATAGGTGACAACCGGACCAACCCCACTTATCCAACAAGAAAAACATGGTACATCACCTACACACCAACACACCAAGCAGATTACTCGCCGTCTGCCTTGATGTGCACAGGATCGCTAAGTCGTCGATCATCGCGTTGCGTGGCAACAGGCACAGCAGGGCTGGGCCTCCTGGGCCTCCGGGGAGAAGCCGAGGGTTGAAGATTTTTGGGCAATGACCCAATTGGGCAATGACCCAAAACATGCGCCCAAAGAACATTGATATCATTTTAAGGATCCTTTTTTTACCAGCCATCAGTAGCCCAAAGATGGGATGTGAAACCTGGTAAAGATGAGCGGTGGATCACAGGGTCAAATGCCGGGTGTCATAGTTTGATTCAGCCGCAAATATCAGATGTTCCACAAGTTATGGGGCCTCAAAGCCCGCCAAATCCCGGGCCAGTGGGGCTGTGTGGCCATAGCAGGGCTGCACTGACACCTAACAGACGTTTGGGATGAGTCGGCAGTTTTGCCACTGGCCTGTTATGAGCGGATTTCCCAGGCGACCCTGTCGTAGCCATCTGGGAATGTGTCAAGACATGAACACCCACCCAGCCCAGCTATGTTATGTTGATATTTTGATTTGCTACCATCTATAACCAACAATGTGTGGTCTGATAATATCTTATATATATATAGAGATTTATAATTGTCTCTCATGTAGCGATGAATACGTACAGAGATTGCAAGCGCTACTCCAGCCATGGAACGCGGCAGGTCTAAGACTCTCAGCCGCCCTTGCCTTCACTAACAACTGTTGGATGTTTAGACCTCCATCCTACGCTAGGGATGATGCAAACCTCAATGGTGACGGGAGGTTGAAGCATGTTGAAACCATCGAGCTGTGAATGATCTTGAAAACCAGGACAATCACAATGATATCTTGATGATCTGGTGATCATCCTGACAAGCTTAGTGTTTGATGGGGTCGGGTGCCCAAAAGAAAGAGATAGGAGGTTCGACAGCAAAGAAGACAGTCGTCAGATGCCTATTTTTCACTTCGATGTAGGGCCATGTTCAACTCGGAGACCCGTCGAGACCCGTCAAAATGCTAGAACTGCTAGAATTGACTGGCTAAACCGGCTGGTGATTTCATAATGATCGGTGATTGTTGGATGGACAGCTGAGTGCCCGAACCTTGGGGGGGTTGTGGATCAGCGTTTTCTATCGGAACTCCACAATTTCATGAGATAACACAGGTTTTAAGGATTTATGAGGCTCAGAAATACGTAAATACTGAATTACTTTACTTCGCGTGATCCCCACCATGACATTTATACATTTTGTTACTGGCAAATCTTCTGGCATTCTATCTGACATATCTTCTGGCATTCTATCTGGCATATCTTCTGGCATATTATCTACTCAAATCTTCTGGCATTCTATCTGGCAAACATTCTGGCACTTTATCTGGCATATCTTCTGGCATTCTATCTGACATTTTATCTGGCATTCTATCTGGCATAGCTTCTGGCATTCTATCTGGAATATCTTCTAACATTCTATCTGGCATATCCCCTGGCACTATCTGGCATATCTTATGGCATTTTATCTGGCATATCTTCTCGCATTCTATCTGACATTCTATCTGCATATCCTCTGGCATTCTATCTGGCTTTTGAGGTCCAGCGGTGCGCACTGAGCTCGGAAGGCCCCAGGTTGAGGTCCAGCGGTGCGCACTGAGCTCGGCAGGTCCCAGGTTGAGGTCCAGCGGTGCGCACTGAGCTAGGAAGGTCCCAGGTTGAGGTCCAGCGGTGCGCACTGAGCTCGGCAGGTCCCAGGTTAAGGTCCAGCGGTGCGCACTGAGCTAGGAAGGTCCCAGGTTGAGGTCCAGCGGTGCGCACTGAGCTGGGAAGGTCCCAGGTTGAGGTCCAGCAGTGCGCACTGAGCTCCGAAGTTGGCGAAGAGCTTGGCCAAGAGTTGGCAAGGCAACAGTGGACGTGGAAGTGGAGGCAGAGGTGGTAGAAGAGGAGGAGGACGCGGAGGAGGAGGAGGAAGGAGGAGGAGGAGAAGGAGGAGGACGAGGAGGAGGAGGAGGAGGATGAGGAGAACAGCTCTGATAAAATCTAACAACCCTCACCTGGCAGGTGGGGAAATACATCAAGATGGATTGGCTTGATTTGAGAAAAGATGTCTAATGGTGACAAGAGGTAAAGAGATATTTTGACCACTGCATAAACATGTTTCTTGGGTCTCCAAGGTATGGGGTAGATTCATTTGATCAAAACTAGAATACCAATCACGAATCCTTCAAAACCCTGCTCATACAGGCAGGGCAATGCAGTTGGTGTTTGTTTTTTTCCATGTTGGTACAACGTCTCCTTTGCATTGGGCACCTTGAGTTTTTTGGAAACCTGCGATATTGAACAAGTTCCACTGCCAAGTTCAAGGGTGCTGTATTGATTACGGGCGCCCACGAACCACGAATTTGGTTGATATCATGTTGTACAATCAACAGCAGGTCTGATGTTACTTGTATGTACATACGTGTGTGTGTTGTTTGTTTTTTTTAATGTATGCATGTGTATGTATGTATACAAGTAGTACCGCACAAAGCGGTGGCGAAAGTTTCAAAGATAGGACGCTATAGGAGAGGTGAGTTGTTGTGATGCATGGATGGCAGAGCGAATCCACTGACGGACCGAAAGGTGGTTGGAGTTGTGTTTCTTTGAGTGGTTCCAATGGTTGCAGTGGTCACCTCACCCACAACTGCTGGATGTAGTGTGGTGTAGTGCAGCTGTAGTTGTAGTTGTAGTGTAGTGTAATTAGTGTGGTGCAGTTGTAGTTGTGGTGTGGTGTAATGAGTGTAGTGCAATGTAATGTAGTGCAATGTAATGTAGTGTAGTGTAGTCTGCTGTAGTGTTGCGTGCTGTAGCGTAGTCTAGTCTAGTCTAGTCTGGTATGGTGTCGTGTGGTGTAGTGGAGCGTAGTGTAGTGGAGTGTAGTTGTAGTTGTATGTCGTTGTCGTTGTAGCTGTAGTTGTAGGTAGTGTAGTGTAGCGTAGCCTAGCGTAGTGTAGCGTAGTGTAGTGCAGTAAGCGTAGTGTAATGTAATTAATGTAGTGTAATGTAATTAATGTAGTGTAGTGTAGTGCAAAGTACTGTAATGTAGCGTAATGTAGTGTAATGTAGTGTAGTTGTAGTTGTAGTCGTAGTTGTAGTTGTAGTTGCAGTTAGTGTACTGTAGTGGCGTGGAGTGGAGCGGAGCGTAGTGTAGTGTAATTGAGCGTAGTGTCGTGTAGTGTAGTGAAGTGAAGTCGACTGTAGTGTAGTGTTTTGTACTGTAATGTGTAGTTGTAGTTGTAGTGGAGTGGAGTGGAGCGTAATGCAATGTAATGTAATTAGTGTAGTGTAGTGTAATGTAGTGTAGTTGCCGTTGTAGTTGTAGTTGTAGTGTAGTGGAGTGTAGTGTAGTGGTGGTTGTAGCTGAAACTGCTGCAAAACCCTCACGTTTTGCTCACTTGTGACAAGGTGCACAATCCCTTGCGCCTGCAAAACGACATCTGAACGTCCAAAAAGTGTTCCGTACCCGTCAGTTTTTCTCACTTTTGACTTGGAAATGTGCTTCGCGCCACAACGGCGTGCACTTTTCGACAGCTCAATTCCTAAAAATGCTCCGAAGCTGAAGTGCTTTGTACATTTTGACTTGGGAACGTGCTTCCTGTCACAACGGCGTGCACTTTAGTGCTCCGAGAATGGATTGTTTTGTACATGTTGACTTTGAAATGTGCTTCGCGCCACAACGGTGTGCCTTTTCATCTCTCATCTGGCCAGATGGCTCCGCACCCGCCGCTTTAGCGAGCCTACTTTTCGACCCTCCGGAGCCACAAATCATTGGCAAAACACCGTGTTTTGCGACTTTGCCACCTTTTCGCGCACCTGCATCTTCTTTCTTCTCACTCTTTCTCTTCTCTGATCTTCTCTCTTATGCTCGTCTCTTCCCTGACTCTTCCCACCTCTGCTTTTCCATCTGTCCATATTGTCGGAAGTGTGACTCCTAAACTACCTAAACTTCCTTCGATTATTATGTATATACACATATGTATATATATATATATGCATATGTTTATATATATATATTATATGTAATATGTAATTACATGAGTATACATACATGTACAGACATTTACACACGTGATCATACGTGTATATATGTATATACATGAACTCATATACTTATATTTTTACATACATGACAATACATACATTAAAAAAATGCTCACATATACATAGATCTTAGAGATAGTGTATGCGTCAACACATCATCACTCTTTCGACCACCTTTCTGCCAGGTTCATCAAAAGACAGCGCCAAAGGTGAAACTTTTGCCAGCTACTGGGCTGCAGAATGGCCTTTGACGCTTCAGATTCTTACAGTGGACATGTCAGAAATTTCACCCTGCATAGTGCCATAGCTGGCAGAGGTTCTACCAGGTTGGGGATTTTGGGTGATTTTGTAACTGATGATGGGAGCAAAATCTCAACCTACGGTAGATATATGGATTTCTTGCAAGCTGCGCACGCGTGTGAGAAGGTTGGTTGCTGGTTCCTTTGGGGTAAATGTTGCAGACAGAGAAATGGAATGGGCAGATGGAGAAGCAGACAGATGGATGAATGGATGACTACATAGGGAGGCAGAAGGGACAAAAATCTATAGTAGATAGATATGTACACAACTTTGTATGTATATTATGTATATACGTTTCAAACACTACACATACATATATATAGTTTGTTTTATTTTATTATGCTATGATATTTATTGTGTTTATAGCATATGATATTTATTTTAATGTTATGATATTGTATTTTAATATATATTTTTAAGATATTATGTTATATTGTTTTTGTTATCTTATATTATCTTATCTGTTATTATGTTATATTTTCTTTTATTACATAATATTGTATTATATTATTTTATTTTTCATATTTTTATATTTAATTCACTATTATATATATATATGTTCTTATTATCGTTTATTCTATTCTATTTTATTATATGTTATTATATATATTTTTTTTTATTTTTTCATATTGTATTGTATCATATTTTCTTATTATATCACATTATGTAATTATGTTTCAGTATTTTATTATTTTATATTATATTTTGTTTTTTCATATCATATTGTAAGGTTTATTTATTTATATATTTCATATTGTATATTCAATACATTACAACATATATTGGTTAACATGTTATTTTATATATATGTTTTTATTTATTTAAATATATTTTTCTATGTAATATATATATATATATTTATAATCATTTGTTTTTGTATATAATCAAAGTTATATACAAAATTTGTGCAGGTTCTTGAGTCTTTCTCAATTGAACATGTTGTCGACTCACTTGCATTTGATCAAGAACCTACATAAGTTAGTTGGCGCTCTAGTACAATAGGACACTACATGTCCATTACCCTAGCCATGGCGACTGCATAGATAGGCATACGACCATGATTCAAAGTTGATTTTCCTTTCCACTGGTCCACTGTGCCTATGCTGATAGCGATAACATCGAGCACTGATGTGACTACATACGTATGTGTAGACAATTGTATATCTAAGATATATATATATATTTATTTATTTATTTTGTTTTTTATGTATTTATTTATTTATTTTATATATGTACATAACTATATATATGTATTTGATTATATATATATAATAGTAGATGTATACATCTTCGTGGATGACGATGACTAGTAGTGGCATTCAATAAAACCCTTGCCATTTGCATACCATCTCTGCAGGAGCTGCACGGAAGACCATGCAACCTGGCTGGTATGGCGCAAGAATGGGCTACCAATGATCCTACATTAACCCATTAACTCATAACCCGGACACAACATGACTGGACCGGACCTCATTTTGGGGGCCCAGGCCAATGAACACAATCCTTCTGGGATGATAATATGTGATTATCATAAACCCATTACATTTTTGAAGAAATATGTATATTTAACATAGCAAAAATATTAAGTAAATATTAAATAAACAAGTATGAAATATTGTTAAGATCTGTTGTGTGTCTATTCATAAGACCTGGTAAAAGTCGTTGGGTCAATGCCACCCGGGTTTTTCTCAGATCCTGCCCAGGAACGTCAAAGCCTTCAACGGCAAGCCATCGAAAAGCCCGAGCCGCGCCCTGAACGTCCCGGAGATGGGGCGTTCAGGCCGAGTCGAACAGTTTTCAGTTTGGGGAATTATGAAATGATTCAGCCAGATATTGTATATACATAATAGAATATATATATAATATAGAATATATAATATATAATAAATAATTTATAATATAATATAATATAATATGATATAATATAATATAATATGATATAATATAATATAATATAGTATAATATAATATAATATAATTTAATTTAATATTATATATATATATGTGTATTATATGCGTTTATTTATTTACGTATGTACATATACATAGCTTCATAGATTTTATATAGATATGTTTTGCTACAGTACATACAGAATTATCATGTGTGTAAATATGTATATAATTTACATATGTGTCGAATGCGTATCTATATATATATATGTATATATACTGTGTATATATATACATATGTGTGTGTATATATATATATGTGTGTGTGGCTCATTATCCCAATATTGATAAGTGAGAGAATGTCAAGTAGCCATTGTTTCATGTGTCGGTTTGATACCAGCCGCCAATAGCAGCCTGGTTGCGATCAAAATCCCGAAGCGAAGGAACTTGGCTTTCTGGGTGGCAGGTGATGGATGAAACCTATGAGATTGGCTAGGGACTATGGGAGAATCTCTTTGAGGTGCAGGTCCTTGCCGATTCCCCGGCAGGTACAAGCCCTTCATCTGCCTCCAGCGCAGGTTGGGGATCAAGCCATCCATAATTTGGGTACGGTTCAAAGTTATATATCTATCCTCTGGTAATTTCGTATAGCTATGTAAAATTGCCAATTTATAGATGATTACCATTGAGTACCTGCAAAAAAGTGATGATGTTCCATAGTTATGTTAGTCACAACCAGAGGGTATCCCCCAAAATCGGGCAAGATTGGATGGTTGTGGCTGACCAACAGTTTTGAGCCAAAGAGTAGAAGGAAAGTGGGAATAAGAATGAATAAGATACAGGTGACTTTGCCAAGGAAATTTGAGTTCTAGATTATCTTGCAAATCACCATATTGGATACTGAGTTTTATTGATGTTGTTCGTGATATCACCATTTTGGGAGGGACGTGATGCCACGTGATTCCAACCGGATGGAAAATGGTGATACCTTGCCATCACAGGTTCCAGGCCCAGTTCGGGATCGCGAGGGCCATCAAAAGCTCCGAGTGGTTGACAACTCAGACGTCGTTGTGTGACGCTGAACAAGAAATTGGGGATTAGTCATCAAATCAAATTGTGTGGTTTTCGTGTTTTATTACTCTATCCATCAAAAATTCCAGCCAATTCTGGCTGCTGTGTGGTGCCATTTCTCCATCGCATCTCCAGGCACCTAACTTGTCTTCCAGCTTTGGTCCAAGACATAACATTTGGGCCGTGCGCACTAGCGCTGTCTGCGCCATGGTTCAGCAATTTGGCATCGCATTGCTTTGCAGCCCGACGAAGCAACCCGAAGAACCGGCACCGTCGGCACCTGCCAACAACACAGCATCGATGCCAGGTTGTGATATCGGTCTCTGTTCGAAGAAGAGTTCGCGTCAACCATGCAACATCATGCCGCAAGATCCAGTCCCGCAGTTGATTGAAGTGCATCAAAAGGATCAGACGAAAACTTTGCAGGAGTTGGACACAGTGTCAGCAAGCATTTGATCAGTGGTAAGTGTTCTGTTTTCCCAAAAAGCAAATGCAGGTTCTGGTGCTTATTCTTTTCCAGGCATTTTTCTCAGTTTTCCACTCATCCATTATGAATACTGAATTTCTATGGATATATATATGTATATAAATAAATAATTGGTCGAAATCTGAAGGTCGGAGTCCTCCCGCCATTCCCGAAGCTCTTTCGACTCCTGGACCGCCTATTTGGCGCATGACCCTCGAGCGCAACCCAATCGATATGCGCACGAAGGCTCATGCAAGGAAGTGGAGCGCTTCCTTTGCTTGGTGCAGCAAAATGGCAAGGGATGCGCGGTGCAGTTAGTAATGGTTTCCACATGTTAGGGGTTGGATCAGAATTAATGACCACCGAAAAAATGGATGATGTGATACTGATACTAGAATCGACCACTTTAGACCCCTTTTTGGCCCCTTTACTTGTTTCAATGTTTTTTTTCACATGCTAATGATGTTTTGATGTTCAGACATATTTGGGATGTTGATTCCCGACGGCTTTCATTTTCTTTAGGTTCGGTGGTTTTCATGCTTGGGGAGAGGGTGCATCTCTGCACAACGGTATTTCACTTCAGAAAAGCGCTAGTTCTGTTTGACGCAAGTCTTGCCATCAAACGAAATAATCAATGTTGGTTCTGTCCTTTTCTGTGAGTTAAAAGCATGTCGGCCGACAAGTTCAGCTTCAACTTTGAGGATTTCAGAAGTGGGTGGCACGACGCCGTCAGTAGGTGAACCGCAGGACCGTCCATCTTTTTCGCCGGAACCGTGACGCCGCAGTGGCAATTGCAGGGCTCGGCTTCCCCAGGTGAAATCCACCTGGAATGGGCAAAGGCAACCACCTGGCTTTGGGTGTGGGGAGGGCCTCTGCATTCCTTTAGAATCCTTTTTTTACTCATGTACGGTAACGACATGTAGTTACCGTAAATATGTATGTTATTTACATAGATTGGATTACATTGCATTTTATTACATTGCATCGCATACCATTGCAGTACATTGTACTGCATTACGTTACATTGCATTGGATTGCATAACATTTTGTTGCATTACGTTGCATTACATTGCATTGCATGACATTGCATTTACATTGAATTGCATTGCATCGCATTGATGATGCAATGCGGTGCATTACATTTCATTACATTGCATTGCGTTGCATTACATTACATCGCATTGCATTGCGTTACAATCTGCTGCATTACATTACATTGCATTGTATTGCATTACATTGTGTATCATTGTGTTGCATTACATTACGTTGCAGTACATTGCATTTTCATTGCATTGCAGTGCATTACATTGCATTCATTGCAGGATGCATTGCGATGCATTACATTTCATTACATTGCATTGCATTACATTGTGTCGCATTACATTGCATTGCATTTCATTGCAATGCATTGTGTTGCATTAGCTTGCGTTACGTCGCATTACCTTGCATTTGCATTGCCTTTACATCGCATTTACATTGCATTTACATTGCATTTGCATTGCATTACATTGTGTCGCATTACATTACATTACATTGCATTTCATTGCAATGCATTGTGTTGCATTAGCTTGCATTACGTCGCATTACATTGCATTTGCATTGCGTTTACATCGCATTTACATTGCATTTGCATTGCATTTGCATTGCATTGCATGGCATTGAATTGCATTGCATTACATTGTGTTGCATTGCATTACATTGCGTTGCATTACATCGCATTGCATTGCATTACATTGAATTCCACTGCATTGCATTGCTTTACATTGCATTGCGGTGCATTGCATTGCGATTTATTACCATGCATTTCATTATATACTTTGCATTACGTTACATTGCAGTCAGTTACATTGTATGGCATGGCATTGCATTGCATTTTAGTTATATTGCATTATATTGTGTTGTATTACAGTGCATTACGTTAGGTTGCATTCATTCCATTACACTGCTTTCTATCACATTATGCGATGCGGTGCGTTACATTGCATTGCAGCACATTGCATGACATTCATTGCATTGCATTGCATTACGTTACATGGCGTTCCATTAGGTTGCATTGCATGTCACTACAATTCACTACCCCACATTGCATTACATTGCTTTACATTAGATTGCATTTGATTACATTGCAGTAGGTTAGGTAAAATAAAACATTTAGGTTCATATGTTGATAGGTTCATAGGCCATGGGTTCACAGATAGATAGCTAGATTAGATTGAAAGATTGACTGATAGATAGACAGACAAATAGATAGATAAATAGATAGAAAGATAGATAGAGAATAGATAGAGACTAGATGGAGTATAGATGGAGGATAGATGGAGAATAGATGGAGAGTAGATTGAGAATAGACGGATAATAGATGGGAAAATTAGACAATAGATGGAGAATAGTTTCAGAATAGTTCCATAATAAATGGACAATGGATTTAGAATAGGTTCCGAATAGGTTCAGAATAGATTCAGAATAGATAGAGGATAGAAAGGGGAGAGATGGAGGATAGATAGAGGATAAAAATCGCGATAGATGGGGATAGATAGATAGAGAGGGAGAGAGAGAGATAGATGAAACTATTAATACAGATTGATATAGATAGACGTAGATAGATATCGGTAGATAATGGCAGATATATTCCTTTGTATATATATATATGTATATATACGTATATATAGATAGATATAGAGGGATATATATATAGATAAAGATACATATAGATAGATAAAGATAGATTTAGACAGATAAAGATAGATATAGATAGATATAGATGAATATAGATGGATACAGATAGATATAGATAGATATTAATATATAGATATAGATATTAATAGATAGATATAGGTATTAACAGATAGATATAGATGGATATAGATGGATATAGATGGATATAGATGGATATAGATGGATATAGATGGATAGATATAGATAGATATAGATAGATATAGTTGGATATAGATGGATATAGATTGATATAGATAAATATAGATAGATATTGGTAGATATTGGTAGATATTGATACATATAGACATATATAGATAGACATATATAGATAGACACAGATAGACATAGATAGATAGATAGATTGGACTAGATTGGATTAGATTACAGTAGACAAGACTAAATTAGATAAATAGATAGATAGTCAGACAGACAGGCAGGCAGACAGACAGACGGATAGATAGATAGGCAGACAGACAGACAGGCAGGCAGACAAACAGACAGACAGATACACAGATATTTAGACATGTTTCATGGTTTTATCTATACACTGAAAAGACAGGCTGGTGTGTGATAGTTCAGAGACCCTTTTGGCACTTCTGGCCCCCATACCCGGTGGAGGCTTCCTCCCAAGGTTTTTGGACCTGATTCAGAGGATTCTCTTGGTGGTAGAGCTAGACGCTTCAAAAGTGTCAACTTTAAAAATCTTTGTAACACGGGTTGCTCGACCTCGGTGTATGTCAACTCATTTCCCGTCCAAAACACATGGACGAACTGTTTATCAAATTTATCCGTGTCACTTCACGGGCTTACCAAGTAAGTCCTTGGGGCCTTGTCTTCTTTCGGCCGTGTCTTCCCATGCAAGCAGGCCGACTTTCCCTTGTCACAAAATGAAATCCCGCAGGCCTCGAGCCTGATGGAATTTCATCAGATCATTCGTGGTCTGACAGTCGTCGGCAAAACCACTTTCACACGCAGTTGACAACGAAAAGATGCCGGAAGCAGTCTGGGGGTCCAACACTTCACTGGAGAAGCCAGGTTTTACGGTGCAGACGGATGCAGATTTCCCAGCATTTCCAGCCGTCGTCCCAAGGTTGGTCAAACTCCGTGTCGCAACAAGTCTCCAATGGTCGCCTGTCCGATTCATGGGTTTGGGATAGAGAACCAACCATATGTGGGGACTTTTTTGGGATATCATGAGATATTTTAGGTGATATATTGCGGGAAACATGACCTTTTTTAATATGTGTTGGGTGTGTCTAAAAAAGGTGGAATTATTCACATGTGACCATTGTGACCATCAAACTTGTGGGTACCGTAACTTTCATTTAAAAAAAACACATTATGGACCTGGAAAACCAATCCTGGATGAAGTTGGTTTAATGGAAAATTTACAGGAAAACCCTATATTTGATGGTAAAAACCATAGTTTCCTGTAGATTTTCCCTTAAGCCAATCCAGTGAAATCCTGGATGAAGTTTTTCCGGATTTTTTTTTGTTTCCAATGCCATGATAAGCAATGCAAATCATTCGAATTCCATGATTTGCTGATAGAATCTAAATCCACTGCAAATCCAAGAATAGCCTAGGGCCTAGTTGAGTCATTCATCGATTTGAGTCGCAAAGAAATGATGATTTAAATATATTTCAAGTCGCTTGGCGAACTCCAATAAATGGAGTTGATTCAAAGTTGCTTGAGAAGATGGGAGTAAGTTGACGGGTTTAATTACGTGTCATTTTATTAATATTTATCAACTATATGGGGGGTTCCATAAATGGGGGATCGTCAAAATGGTTGGTTTATAATGGAAAACCCTATTAACATGGATGATTTAGGGGTACCCCCATTTCAGGAAAACTCAATAATTATATTTGAATTACCCTTCCGTGCTGCGCCTGTGCGCTGGACAATGTTGAAATATGTTGAATGATGGGAAGTTCTATTTGGACACATGCAAAAATGCAGCCACATCAACACCCTGACCCAAAGCGCCTCAAGAATGTACAATTTCAGGGCTGAGGCGCTTACATCCTGACTTTTACTGCTGGTGTTGCATATTGGGTCATACTTAATCCCCATTCGAAATGACTCCCGAATTTTACTCAGATTTTGAAGATGGGTTCAACCCAGTCCCATCACAACCTGAAATTGCCGAAAACAAAAGAGCCTCAAAATCCGATACAAAATCCCAAGGCTTTTAGGGTGTTATTTTGTATCAGTCCCAGAATTAGGTTCAATGGACGATTCACAGTTCAATGGGGTACATTGGCAACATGTTCCTGTGCAATTTACTGCGTTGTGGAATGCATATATACTGGTTGGTGGTTTCAAACATTTTTTATTTTCCATTTCATATATGGGATAATCCTTCTCATTGACTTTCATATTTTTCAAGATTGTTAAAACCACCAATCCCAATATATATATATACTGGAGAAGAAAAGAACATAGCTCCCCGTAGATTTTCCTTAAACCCCTTCCCCTACGAAGAATTTCAGCCGAGGCGGCATGTCTCGACAAGTTTCCGGTGAAAGTGCCTGGGCTGAAAGGTCAAGAGGTGTCAATACTGAAGACCCATAGATTGGTAATGTTTAGGACCTTAAACCATGAAAGAAAAGCACCTCCCAAAATGTAAGGAAGATCCGACGGTACCAAGATAATCCCAGATAGTGGTAATTTATTTCTGTTCAATCTTTTTTTGGGGGGATTACTCTAAACCATGAAATTGTTGAATTGTTAGCTACAACAGATGGGTGCAAATGTTGCAAGCAATTCCCGAATTTGCATGTGCGCTACGCCCCAAACAGACACCGCCATAGATTGACATGAGCTTCCTGTCGAATTTTGCACACGTTGCATGTTTGCAGGCCGATACTTGCAGAACATGGTAGAACCCTTGGGATTAGTTCGACCTTGGGCCTACATTTTCGCAGAACTAAGGCTCCCGGCCAGGCTCCGCAACAAGGATGTCGCGACAAGTCTCCAATGGCAGTCGCCTGTCCTAAGAATCTGGGTACAGAGCTTTAACTGGGGATGATCTACGTAAAGCAGCGACGATATAACTATTTGGGGGTGGAGGATGTAATGGAGTATTTCATGGAAGATTTTGTGGGGTACTTCATTCATGGGATATTGCAAGGGATAGCCTATGCTCTTTTTCAGGACCAACAAGATGATAAGAGTGCCCCAAATCATAGCATATTTTTTCTGGGAAAAATATCATGAATGATTTTTTTCGGATTTCAACATGTTTAAGCATCAAATTGGTTGGTCTAGGTTCAGCCACACCCACTGGGTGGATCAATCCCATGGGTTTTTCCTCTGGTAAACGTAAAAAATAGCTGTAGAAAATCACCATTTAAAGAATAGGTCAATCAACTATGAATGTGGTATTTGAAAAAATCGCTATGTTAAATTACCAGAGGGTATATCATAATGCAATCCAAGAATAGCCTATTTGAGTCATTGGTTTGAGTCAGCAGATGGCTGCTGGTGAAATTTCACAGGGCAAAAACACTCGGCAGCCAAAAACATCACCGGTTCAGCTGGCACAAACCGCTTGCAACCCCGGGTTACTCTTCGTCACTCAGATTTTGAAGATAGATTCAACTGAACCCCATCATGATCCGGGGATGTGATCAGATACCAAAGACATTTGGGAGAGATTCCTGGCGCCTTGGTGTTAAAAACAGATCTGAGCCAGGTAGTATTTACAGTATGAGTTTCAGCCGTTCTGTCTTTGGGGGGTATGCCACATGCCTCAGTTCGTGAGGTCGTTGATACTGCCATATGTCTTTTTGACGGGTGATTTAATATGGAACCATGTTGACGGCCATATTATGTGTATATATATACATTATATATACTATATACAATAGGAAATCATGTTCACACTCCATGATTGGGGTTTCATGTTAAATTTGACAGTGATATCAGTGGTATCCGTTACTTTTCTATCCGATGAATCTCACTCGACCATTGCCGGAACAGTTCATATAACCAGATTCTGTTTGTTGATTCATCCCTTTCCCATTCCTCTCATTTGCAGACTTTCATGGAGGAAAAATGTTCAGGAAACCCTTCGTCTTATTGGTTCAAATACAACACGTTGTTTCCTGTAGAATTGCTTTTAAACCAGCCCAATGACTCATACCCGTTGCTTTTCATTATCTTCAACATCCTCTACGAAGAATTTCAGCCGAGGCGGCATGTCTCGACAAGTTTCCGGTGAAAGTGCCTGGGCTGAAAGGTCAAGAGGTGTCAATACTGAAGACCCATAGATTGGTAATGTTTAGGACCTTAAACCATGAAAGAAAAGCACCTCCCAAAATGTAAGAAAGATCCGACAGTACCAAGATAATCCCAGATAGTGGTAATTTATTTCTGTTCAATCTTTTTTGGGCGGATTACTCTAAACCATGAAATTGTTGAATTGTTAGCTACAACAGATGGGTGCAAATGTTGCAAGCAATTCCCGAATTTGCATGTGCGCTACGCCCCAAACAGACACCGCCATAGATTGACATGAGCTTCCTGTCGAATTTTGCACACGTTGCATGTTTGCAGGCCGATACTTGCAGAACATGGTAGAACCCTTGGGATTAGTTCGACCTTGGGCCTACATTTTCGCAGAACTAAGGCTCCCGGCCAGGCTCCGCAACAAGGATGTCGCAACAAGTCTCCAATGGCAGTCGCCTGTCCTAAGAATCTGGGTACAGAGCTTTAACTGGGGATGATCTACGTAAAGCAGCGACGATATAACTATTTGGGGGTGGAGGATGTAATAGAGTATTTTATGGAAGATTTTCCGGGGTACTTCATGGGTGTTGTATGGGATACTGTATGCAATATAATGGGATATGTGACCAGCAAGATGATTTGGGGCTCCCAATTCGTAGCAGTTTTTAATGGGGAGAGCTGGAAATTCATACTGGTGAAAGGGGTGTCTCTGGTTTGCAATGCCGAAACAAGCGAAATTAAGCTAGGCCCATATCCCAGAAAAAGATCACGCATGTGTGGGTATGTGTGGATTTGGGGTTGATTTCGGGTATATAATGCCTTTTCGATCGTTTTAGACCTCCCCAGCTGTTGTTACCTGATTACATCCGGCGTTTTTGAATTTGGTTGATAAATCCCGCCGTTTTCGTCGGTAAATCATTCAAATTCCATAATTTGTTGATAGAATCCAAATCCACCTATATAAATCCAATGCAAATCATGCCACAAAGTAGGATATGTTGCCTCCCTGCCTCTGCGCACTATTTTGATGGAGTTGCAATCATGACATACAATGAGTTTATGATACAAAAGATCCTAAGTGGAAGGTGAATTATCATGAATTGACGCTTTTGCGCTGCCCCACAAACACGTTCAGACCATGACCCGGAGAATAGTTCCAAGAACATATTTGCCAACAGGTACACAAAGGATCACAAAGGCACGAAGCAATTGTAAGATTGTTCAACTTCTCGATACTTTAAGATTCTGCAGCAACCAGGTGCCATGCCTCGACAGATCTCTGGCGATGGCACCTTTGGCTGCGATTTTTTTCGCTGAAGAGAACTGAAGAGAATAGGGCTTAGGGTAGGGTCAAGAGAATAAGATAGGGTCCATTGGTTGGATTTATGTGCAATATGTGGTCCCCGTTTATCCTTGTTCTTGCAATCCCGATCAACCCTGCGAACTCATATAGTGGGGAAGTTTGAGATTAACTATGGCTGAATGCAGTGACTTTCTACACAAGGTCTTTGTTGGCAAATCATGTCATGAGGATGTGTTGCCTCTTCCCTGTCTCTTTGCGCTATTTTGATGGAGTTGCAATCATGACATACAATGAGTCTTTGATACGAAAGATGGTACTGCAAGTGAACACGATTCGATAGGTGAATTATCATGAATTGACGCTTTTGCGCTGCCCCACAAACATGTTCAGACCATGACCCGGAGAATAGTTCGAAGAACATATTTGCCAACAGGTACACAAAGGATCACAAAGGCACGAAGCAATTGTAAGATTGTTCAACTTCTCGATACTTTAAGATTCTGCAGCAACCAGGTGCCATGCCTCGACAGATTTCTGGCGATGGCACCTTTGGCTGCGATTTTTTTCGCTGAAGAGAACTGAAGAGAATAGGGCTTAGGGTAGGGTCAAGAGAATAAGATAGGGGCCATTGGTTGGATTTATGTGCAAGATGCGGTCCCCGTTTATCCTTGTTGCAATCCCGATCAACCCTGCGAACTCATATAGTGGGGAAGTTTGGCAAATCATGTCATGAGGATGTGTTGCCTCCCTGTCTCTTTGCGCTATTTTGATGGAGTTGCAATCATGACATACTGGTATCATGAGTGTTTGATATGGAAGATGTTAATTGGATATAATTGGAATTAATTGGAAAATATTGGAAAGGTATGGAAAGGTATGGAAAGGCGAATTATCATGAATTGACTTTATGTCGCTTCCCGGCAAACACGTTCAGACCAAGACCCCAAGAATATTTGGATGAATATGTTTGCCAAAAGGTACAGGATCCCCAACTAACGGCTCGACCCGCCTTAATTCCCCTCATCAGCAGTGTTCAAAACCTTTGTTGGTTGATTCTACGGGGTTATATAAGTTATACCATGTAAATCCGTGTAATAGTTGGTTTTTGGTTGATCATAATTCTGTGACACCCCATCCCACCTTAATCAGCCGGTATTTCATGGTTTTACACGCCCGTTCTGAGCGACGTAGCGAGGTGTTTTCCCTTTGCAAGGCTGCTTGTCACGACAAGTTTCTAGCTCTAGCACCTTGGCGATGGCTGGATATGGGAAGAAAATTGGAAGGAGATAGGATGGATATGGAAGGATGTTGATGGTCGATATGAAACTAGGTAAACCATGGTTCACCCAACAAATTCATACAAATACTCATATGTCCTCCCAAATTTCACCGGGAATGGCTTGTGTAAACCATCTTAAACTGGAGGTTTATTGTTGGTTTTCAAACATTAGATAATTGATGAATTCATGTGAAACGTTATTGGTTTCTTAAAAACAGATCTGAAAGGTGCTGGAAGATAACAGCTGGTATGGGTGCCAAGCCCAGGCACACCAAAGTTCATGATGATCTGGCTAGTGGTTTCCAACAAATAGCTATGTTCAAATCCAAACTTTAGGGCCGTTCTCCTTCTATTCGCATCATCCTGCTGGATTTGAACATGAGCATGATATTAGCAAGACTTTATAAGAGTGTGAATAGCATATCATATCAGTAATTATCAGTATGTATATTATAAATATAGCATATATGTATACATATATATATAATAACTGTATATATATAATACCTGTAATTATATACATATATATATACACATACATATTCATTAGTGTGTGTCATCATTTCGTGCTGAACCATTATATAGATGTTTCAGGTGAAGCCTCAGGTAAAAGAATGATCCAAGCGGGTTTCATCTGTTGGTATCACCAGGCGACGAAGGCCGCAAGATGCGGCGGACGACCTTCAAAGAAGAGGCGGTTTCTATGTCCATTGAATTGAACAGTATCGTTGTGTTTCAATGATGATTTGTGTTTGCTGTTCCTCTTCTCATCATTTTCTTCATCATATTGTTTCTTTGTCTTCTTCATCATCTTATTCTGTTTTTTCTTCTTGCCAGTGCCGGTGCCAGTGCTGGTGCCAGTGCTGGTGCCAGTGCTAGTGGCAGTGCTGATTCTCCTTTTCTCTTCCTTTCTCCACAGCCACTGCACAGGTGGAAGAAAGGTAGCGTCAGGTGTGGGACATGCGCGAAGGGTTCAAGACGGACCAGCGCTTGCTCGGCTCAATAGGAGCTCAACCCTGCTCTCAGCAAAAGATTGCCCTAGCCGCCATGGACCCTGGAAGAGGCGTACCTAAACCCCTTGGTTATTCATCTGGCGTTTGAGTTTTGCTTTTGGGATCTTTTCGGAGTATGCTCAGTGAGGGTGTTTTAATGTTGTTTGTTCGTGGTTCGTGTTCTTGAGTGAACCCAAACTCCAGTGTCAGATACTGCCCTTACTGATGAATATTGAAGTTTCCACTCTTGGCCATGTTGCCATTGTCTGGACTAGAAATGACAAAAACACACGAAAACGGTCTACTTGAATACATTATGTTTGTAATCAACTGCATTCCTGTCATTCCGCTTTCATGGGTCAAAAGATGCCATCACTCAACTAAAATAGACTCTGCCGGTTGGAAGACTACTTTCCTCAAAAAAAGGATGATTCGCAGGGTCTATGTCTATGTTAATCATGTTAATCGGGGAGATGCTATCAACAGCATCAGAATTCAAGGCGAATACCATCCAAACCACAGCAGCATGTGTCTGAGGTTGCATTGCGCCGTCGTCATGTGATAAGGCACAGCGGCAAATGCTGCGTTCTCCAACTATGGGTCAAAACTTCTTCGAGCAACAAGAGATAAACGCTGGTTCGGTCTTGTCCCCTTGCTGACTCAGAATATTACGGTATGGATTCTATGATATTCCACACAATATGTTTGTATATAAATTGTGTGTATATATAATATTTATAGATATTTGATGATATTTGGATACATGACCATAATATGTCAAAAATAGTTGTCATAAGTTTTGTAGTAGTTGTTGATAATTCATATAATTCTATTGTTGTTTCCTCTTCGGATAGGGCGGCACGCACCTAAATTCACCAATTCTGCAAGGCAGCGCTGGCAAATCGGCTGGGTTTCCGCTAGTTTTTTTTGGCACATCCATGTTCTTTAAAGATTTATTTTATATGTTTATGCATGCTTGTTATCCCAACATGCATTCTTCATAGGATAGGTTTCTGAACAGGTTCTCTTATTTGCAGCCAAGTCCAAACTAGTCAAAACATGCGTTGTTCCCAGCATCTCTTATTGAGCGTCTGTGCCACTTGACCACGTTCCTTGATTCTTAAGGTTGTTGTTCACTTATGCGAATTTGTGCGCAATTTCAACCGCTAGATCCCCGCTAGCAATGCGCTAGCAAAAGTTGCGAAAAGCACCTTTGGCTGACCTATGACCCAGTCGCCGCCAGAGAACTTTAGCAGTTTATCAGATTATCTTATCCTTCTGAATGGCAGCAAAGGCAACAACAAGCTCTGCAGCGAAGAAGAAGAAGAAGAAGAGGAAGAACAGGAAGAAAAAGAAGAAAAGCAAAAAGAAGAACAAACCAAAGCAAGAACAGATGGTGGAAAGTTCTTCCAGTACCACGGCTAGCAACAGCACCCACTCCAACTACACATGCTAGCAGCATTTCCTGCAGCTGTTAGATGCGGTTTCACCATGGAATTGCGATTTATCAACCGAAACAGAAGATGACATTTTGACAAACCGTCACATGCGAATATTATTAATGATTAATGTTTGCACATACATTGACCTACAGAGTTCAAGTTGGTGTGGATTGTACGTGGGTACACCATGGTACACCTTGGTTTGGTTGAGTCTCACTAATAGTATTTATGTGTTGACCTGACCGACCTGACCTCTGGTAATGCTTCCGAACTTTGACGCATGCCTGTGTACATATACTGGTTGGTGGTTTGGAACATGTTTTTTCCATTTCATATATGGGATAATCCTGGCAAAGTTGACTTTCATATTTTTCAAGATGGTTATTGCACCACCAACCAGATGATTCATGATAGCCAAAGGTGGGCGTGGTGTTCTAAAGGACAACTACTGACCCCCTGGACACCTCGTCTCACGAACAGCCATGCTGCACTCAGCGTTGAAATGATCGTAGGGTACGAGTCAAGGTAAGGGGTTCCAAGAAATCCAAAAAATGGCGGGGGGTCAGTTCCAGAATTGAATCTGTCCTGTTTACATCACAGTCCCTCGCAGCTGAATAGCTTTGGGGCCTGGCAGTTTCTGCGGGTCTATGCTAAAATTCCCTGAGAACTTTGCAATGTTTTTGAGAAGTACAAGGGATATCAAAATTATCAAATGATCATGAAAATTTTGTCAAGTTTGGACTTCGAACTTGTTTATCGAAGCAGCTGTTGGGATTGGTCACCAGTGAGTCACTGGACGTATCACAGCCCTTGCAGCCTTTGGTTTCAAGTTGGCACAACTGGTACGGCCCTATCCTTCTGCAGGCCACCAGGGAAGACCCAGGTTGTCCTAGACCCATATGGATATGCCTCAAAAATAGGAGTTTCCTTGTACCTTTAGGATCCACAGACATGATGAAAAATGGTCATGTGCAATATCTCAGCATCCAGTTTGGTGGTAGAATTGGTGAGCCATTCCCATAGGGCTTTTGGATAGCTACACATAGCTATTTTCGCGAATTTTCTGGGGGATGAGCCTCCATAAATCGCAGTTTTTTTTTCAGGTATGCTGGATATCATCAGCTTTGCCTTGGGTGGCATCACAGTGGTGACGTGGCAGTGATAAAAATGGGCTCGTTGTTTCATAGATCTTCATCCTATCCTCCTGTCATGTCCATGGCAATGAATGTCCATGGCAATGTCCATGGCAATGAATGTCCATGGCAATGAATGTCCATGGCAATGACAATGCAAAATCACCCAGTTCGATGATTTTCCCAGCTATTCGCCTCCATTCTTAGGGGATTTTCAGTTGCCATGTTTGATTACCGAAGGGTATGATCCCACAGGACCGACAAACAGGGTTCCCAGCATCGGTTTATGTCCATGGTGGCAAATAGCAATATCTCAAATGCTTTGAGCAACTAGATTCCCATTTTTATAATGTAGTTCTTTTTATACATGCGTATTATATATATTGTATATTATATATCATATATATATATATATTATATGCTATATATAGTATACTATATATTATATATTATATAATATATAATATATAATATATAATATAAAATATATTATATCTCATATATTATATATATAGTATATTGTATATTATATATTATACAGTATACTGTATATTATAATATATATATATTATATTATATATATATAATATATATATCTGTGTTATGGTCAAAAGGTTGAAGACCACTGTAGTATTACAGAAGCACTTTCGTCAGAGATGTGCACGACGCACTGCCAAGCGATAGGGCCCCCTCAAAAGCGATAATGGCACAAAACACAAAGAAACGCGGAAACCGATAATAGCAACTACTGAGATGTAAAGAATCTTGATGGCAGCGCATATACATATATATAGAAAAATACATGGATATATATATATATATGTGTGTGTGTAATATGTACTGTGTACTATCTAATACGTAACATGAAATGTGAAATGTGGAGCATGTGTGTGTATGTGTATTTCATTATGTATAATTATACGATTGTGTAATCATTATGTCTATATTATTTCTGTCTATAGTATCACGTATATATCATTGTGTATACATATATATATATATACACAGAGAGAGAGGATCATATATATATAATCATATATATATAAAGAAACAAGCATACATGCATGCATGCATACATAGCTTTAACTTCCCAGATCTCTCAAACTGTTCTTAAGCAAAAAATGGATGTCCTGAGGCATTTATGGCCATTGTGGCACGCATGGGGGGCGATTGCTGGGGAGCTGCCGAGAAGGTGAAGGACCTGGGGAAAAGCCATGGTTTTCCCAATGGGTGTTCCACATCCAACGGTTAGTTTGGAGGAAATCCCACTGGGAAAACCATGGGTTGTTGGGATATGTTGGGATATGTTGGGATATGTTGGGATATGTTAGGATATGTTGGGATATGTTGGGATATCGGACTAAATGGGTGATGTTCCATAGCTATGTTAGAGTACCAGAGGGGTAAATGATGGTAAATGTCCCGTTTAAAAACAACCAAGAGTTGGGTGATGTTCAATTATTTACCCCCAAAAGATGAGCAACATTAGGAAATCATGAGCCACTGAAAATAGCCTGTTTATATGGTTATGATAGGCGTTATACTAGCCATGTTTTTGGATTGTTCTGAGAGTTCTGGTTCATGTTAGGGATAGCTTTCAATCAACTACTATAGTGGATGGGACAACATTATCAATATGCGGGATATATGGGATAAGAATAGGATTTAAGCAACAAAGTCGGATTCAGAAACTCCACTGGATTCAGAAACTCGGGATTCAGAAATTGCACGTCGGATTCAGAAACTATTTCGTCGGATTCAGAAACTATTTCGTCGGATTCAGAAACTCTTGCTGACGATTCAGAAACTATTTCTGAAGATTCAGAAACTACTTCTGAGGATTCAGAAACTTTGGGGGATTCAGAAACTACTCCATGGTTCAGAGCGATGCAGTTTAGGGATGTTTAGGGTTGGTCCAGTGCTGCTTTAGCGCTTCTTTAGGGTTGCTTGTAAGGTGACAGATATGATGTCAGCTTCACAGCAACATCATGCACACTTGGGACACGGACAACAGTAATGATCAAGTTGTGATGTCTTTCAATCTATCTTGACGAGGAATCCAATCCACCCCCTGAGGCCAATATATTGAAAGGAAATTTCATTCAACTTATCTTCATGATGGATCCAAACTGCCACCCAGTGTAAGCAACACATTGATGGGCATAGTAGCCTAAATTTATTCTTCATGAGGGGTCAAAACTGCCACCCCCTCTCCCTCCAGCCAATATATTGAATATGATCTTATCCTCAACGTATCCTCATGAGGGATCAAAACTTTCTTGAATAGGATCTTAAATTGAACTTATATATCTCCAGGAGGGATCAACACTGCTACCCCGTCTGAGAAATACATTGATGGGTGTAGTCCGTTGAAGTTTAAGGGATCAAAACTGCCACCCCCTTTGGCCAATATATTGAATGAGCAATACATTGATGGGCATAGCAACCTAAACTTATTGCAATAAGGGATCAAAAGTGCCACCACCTCTGGCCAATATATTGAATAGGATCTTAACTTGAACTTATCTTCATTCAGGATGAAAACAAAGCATCAATGATACGGATTATGATAAGGAAAATGGGGATAACCATCAACAATATGGGTGTGTCTCACAAAGGGTACCACTGGATATTTAATGGGAATATGGCGGTTAACCAATGGATTTGGGGCATATCCCATTTTCAGACAAACCCATTTTAAGAGGAACTAGTTTGGGAGATCATGATGTTTTTTCGGAGATTCAATCGGATACAGTATATGACCAACAATATGATGTGGGTTAGTCCAAAAATGGTGGATTTGCCCCCAATATATGGTCATCAATTGATACGGAAGATGATTATCAACTAGTATATTCAGGGCTGTCCTATTTTCAGACAGACTCTTATGCTAAACCATAGTTCTTCATGTAAAAACATGGACCGAAGCAAGGTTTTTGCGGGAATATCCGCATGCTGTTTCAGTGCAAACACACATGTTTGATGGGAAAAGAATGGAACTGGTGGGGCTAACAACGGGATACATACCAAAAAAATCCAAAAAAGCACCGACGATTTGCCATAGAATATAGAGTAAGATGGAGATCATCATATTTTGTGGGAGGCTCATGGATTTACCAAAAATCCATCGAATTCCGTGCCTTGAATCGATGGATCTACAAGCAGGTTTGATTCCCAGAGGGGAACGGTTCAGAGAATCTTCTGGAAATTTCCCGGATGTCCATTGCTGTAAAATTCTGAACACTCAGAATGGGTGAACCAGCCATTTTTCAGAAGATGAATCCGATGAATCCTGTTTAGCTGGAAGACTGGCCTCAAACAGAAGATCCATGTTCAAAAAAAACTGGTTGTGGTTTTCAGAAATTTGGAGGTCATTTTTCTGAGTGTTAGTTCTTGTTAGTTCTTGTTAGTTCTATCCTCGAATTATCCCTGCAAGCAGCACGGTTTCTTAGTTTCACTCCGCAGTTTCTTGGTTCAATCCCCTAGTTGTGCAGGTTCAATTCCCATTCCTGCTGGTTCAATTGTCCAAGTGATTCTTGGAATTCATTTAAGATATTTAAGGGAAAATGTGCAGTAACGTGATTTATGAGGGGTGTAAAAATGTGTTGCCCCGCAGACTTTCCGTTAAATCACTGGTTTGATATATGGTTATACATATATACATATATACATATATACATATATACATATATACATATATACATATATACATATACATATATACATATATACATATATACATATATACATATATACATATATACATATATACAGATATACATATATACAGATATACACGTATATACGTATATACGTATATATATACATACATATATACATATACATATACATCTATATATACATATACACATATACACATATACACACGTACACATATATACATATACACACGTACACATATATACATATATACAGCATATACAGCATATACAGCATATACAGCATATACAGCATATATACATATACATATACAGCATATATACATATACAGATATACATATATACAATTATATACATATATACAATTATATACATATATACAATTATATACATATACTATACATATATATATACAATTATATACATATACATATACATATACATATACAATACACATATACATATACATATACATATACATATACATATACATATTATACATATACATATATACCTATATACATACATACATAAATACATACATACATAAATACATAAATACATACATAAATACATACATACATACATACATTACATACATACATTACATACATACATACATTACATACATACATACATAACATAACATAACATAACATAACATACATACATTACATACATTACATACATTACATACATTACATACATTACATACATTACATACATTACATACATTACATACATTACATACACATTACATACATTACATACATTACATACATTACATACATTACATACATACATTACATACATTACATACATTACATACATTACATACATTACATACATTACATACATTACATACATTACATACATTACATACATTACATACATTACATACATTACATACATTACATACATTACATACATTACATACATTACATACATACATACATACATTACATACATTACATACATTACATACATTACATACATTACATACATTACATACATTACATACATTACATACATTACATACATTTACATTATACATTACATACATTACATACATTACATACATTACATACATTACATACATTACATACATTACATACATTACATACATTACATACATACATACATTACATTACATACATTACATACATTACATACATTACATACATTACATACATTACATACATTACATACATTACATACATACATACATACATACATACATACATACCCATATATATATATACATATGTACTATATCATATACATATCATGTCATATCTCATGATATCATTGTACTATCCCGTTCTGTCCCATGATTAATATCCCCATTGTCCACCACATAGCCATTGATTTCCACCATGCTTTTGATCTTCGCACTAGGAGGATCCAAAGCAGCTCTATCAACAGTTCAAGGTGCCCATGCTCTGGGTAAAGAGCGAGAAGCTAGGCATTACTTCACCGATGTTGAGAATTGTATTGTGGAAACCAGCTAATGGCCTTAAATCTGAGTTGGGAAATATTGCCATGTTCCCAGATTTCTATTCTGATCAATCAGAATCCTGAAAAAAAAGATACTGTACAGAATCAATCCACAAGAAGTTTCGGAACTCAGTGCCACACAGTCACACGAGAACCCGCCAGGTTGAGGAAATGTCCTTTGAAAGCAGGCAGCACAAACCACCTTGCTGCTAGGACCGCTAGGAGATATGGGAATGGCATGGAATGGCAATGGAGACACAGGAAGAGCCAAGTTCTACGAGTTTCAATGTGTTGTTCGATCGGACAATGATCCCCAGTAACACTGGAGTTCAAAACCACTCAGATAGGATTTTAGAGTGGGACAAAACAGGATTCTATTGGTTCGCATTAGATTGATCAAATAGAATCCGCCTGGACCTATGCAATTTTTGATGAAGCAACTGGAACAATTGACCTTTCAGCCGCTCTTTCCCTCAGTACTTTCTCAGCCTCATGTAAAGAATCATAGGAACCTGACACCTTGCGTAGTGCCAAGAAACCATGTGTTGTAACCATGTTTTGTTGTGTGAAGTCTCCCCAGCGGCGCTGCCTGAAAGTATTTGCAGAAAATTTGATGCTTTCAGGACACTATTCACCATGCAGAACTTGAGTGAATTTGCAGATCCGGGGTCAGTGCATTGCAGCTGAACTGTGGGGTGACTATCAAGACATGGGCCATGGTTTTTATTTGACATCATTAAGTTTACTGTAAGCGGCTACATATCCGTTGTATTTGATATTGGCAAGTGAGGATATATGGACATGCACATGCATTACATATCAATGTGTCTTGACGCAGAAATGTGCACAGTTTGATGTAGATATTTGGATAGATGATGATAGATGTACAGTTAAATGTGGCAACATGCAGTTTTTCCCCCAATCAGCGCTCTTAGGACATCTTAGCGGCCCGTCATCGATGCTGAGAGGAACTGGGCCAATGCGTCCAAAATGCAACAAAAAAAAACCGGAAATGTGAAGTTTCTCAAGATTACCTTCCAAGAATGAAGATGTCATCAAGAAGATGGATACATCTCTGAAAGCCTGCTACTGGAAATCTGTGCGTGTGTTCTTCCAACACATTTGTGATGAGTTACAAAGACTTAGGGGAACCAGACACCTCGAGAACACAGATGCCAATAGAAGCCAGTGGATTATGGGAAATCCTGTGCCAGCCACATTTTCATCAAGAGTAGATGTAGAGAGTCGTCTTTCTGTTCTGGAGAGGTGGTGCAACAACTCACATCCTCTGCAGGGCAGCGAGTCTGCCAGCACATTCATCAGCTGTGCAGTTAAATGTCTCGATGATTCCAATAGCTGCAGCAAGTCCTCCAATGATAGTTGATCATATTTGATCCAGGCAGCCAAGCCTTCAAGTAGCTTTCTTCTTTAAGATGAATGTAACTATGGACATCTATGGACTACTGGTTAAGGTCCATGCTGAATTTCATCATATCCAACTTCTCAAACCATCCTCTGGGGCATCCAGTCGTCGACCATCGCGCCATGGCTTGGTCTCGTGGGCGATGCCGGGCGAAGTGCTGAAATGTTGCGCAGAGGACACGCTAATCCCAACCACCTGCATCCACTGACCATTCACTGGCTTTGAGAAGCCAGTTTTAACATGTTTTACCCTCTCACTCTCTAAACGTTTACATAACTATGGAAAATCACCATTGTTAATAGGTAAATCAATGTAAATCAACTATTTCAATGGCCATGTTTTACCCTCTCTAAACGTTTACATAACCATGGAAAATCACCATTGTTAATAGGCGAATCAACTATTTCAATGGCCATTTTCAATAGTTATGTTAGTTTACCAGAGGGTAACTTTTCTCCCTGAAACATGATGCTTCAGCCATTGACCTGCCATTTCCAGAAATGGCGCAATGGCGCAGGATCTCTTTCCCTCGCCCATTGGGCGAGCCGACCCCGACCGAAGCTTTTGGTCCTTTGGACCTGCATTGATTTTTTCCCCTAAGAATGGGTGGCAACTGCTACCCTCTGGTTCTGACTAACATAGCTATGGAAAATTGACAATTACTATAGATAGTGTGCATCTAATTAAGAAGAGTGATTTTCGATGGCTATGTTAAATTACCATTCAGGGTACGGGTACTACTTACAAACTGCCAAAAGCTGTGATGCCCTACTGGTAGGTCTGAAAATGTTTGACCATTTGAATGGAGGATCATGGGAAGACAGGTCGCGGTTCTTTCGGGAAATTTAGGCTAGAGGCAAGAGATGGATCGAACAATACTATTATTATTATCTATTATTGTAAGTCAGCAACAAAGTACTTTTGAAATCTTACAATAACAGTATCTTTCTTGCAACCAATAATAGTCTTTATTACTTTTGAAATCTTTTGAATGATTCAGTTTGGATACCTGTAATCCATTCTGGCAATGCTGCAAGTCAGATGAGATTCTTATGAAACATGAAACTGCCAATCAATTCTCGTGGTGATATACCTCTTGTTGGATACCTCATGTTGGATGGATGGTATCATCCTTTGAACACATATCATGTTTTATCCAAACGAGAATTCTGGGCCCATGGGTCAGTGCAGCCCACGAACGGGCCCAGGCATTGAGCCGATCTCTGGTGAATGCAGAGACTCCTAGCCACTCAGCGGTGACTGGGAATGTTTTATCGCGAGATGAAACTCTTTAGAATATGAATTTATACATATCAAGTATCTATCTATCTATTCATCCATCGATCTATCCATCCATCTATCTACAGAAAATCATCACTATACATACGTACAATTACGTACATATATGGTGATGTTCTGTGCATGATACATGCCCATCCTGAAGTAAACACTAGACTCGGCACCCCAGGTTCAGAGGAGCCGCAGCCGCAGCCACCAAGTGATGCCCTGGTGACAAGAGGGGTGCGCGTCTACAGGCGGAAACGAGTGACCTGGCACGTTGCATCGGCCAATGGATGGTTCACCACAGAAAAATGGGATTTACCCTCTGGTAAACTAACATAGCTATGGAAAATGGCCATTTATAGTGAGTTTTCCCATTGAAAAAAAGTGATTTTCCATAGTTATGTTAGTTTACCAGAGGGTAACCAGCAAAACATGTGTAGGTTGCCAACAAAAAATAGATATGTTTAAGATATATACGACTATAGTTGCATTGCTGAGTCATGTTTCGCTAGGGGAGATGTTGATTCTCTGCGGAAAATAAAAACTGTTCGGGATGGTAGCAAAATTGGACATGCAAATTCGGTTCGGGTCAAGTGTGTTGGAGGCCCAAATATGGTGTACCAATAGTGCTAATTTTTACCATCCCAAAATGTGGCAAATAAAGCCATACTCAAGTCAGTTACCAAAAATGGGATGATTTACTCGGGTGATGTCCAAGGCCCAAATGTACAGTTTGGAAATGCCAACATTTTCAGAGGGTTTCAATGGCAGTACGAGCTCCAACGGGGGGAACTAATGGCAACCCTCTCCCTAAATTCCCAGGCTGAGCATTGGAGAACTTTCCAATGGGGCATCGGTAGCAGGCCTGGGCTTAAAGCGTCAATGGTGATGATAGCAACCATGTTTCGGGTATAGAATACCTCTATAGTGGGGATATACACATATAAGTATACATATATATATACATAATATATATAATAAGTATAATATAAATATAATATTATATATATAATATAGAATATATATAATATATATAATATATATTATATATATTATATATTATATATATATTATATAATATATATAATATATATAATATATTATTATTATTATTAGTATTATTAGTATTACTATTTATTATTATTATATAATCATGATTTACATGGGAATGGGTCAAAACCTATGATACCATATGACTGTTTGAATGAACATCCATGGAAAGAAGAATCTTAAAGCTGCTGTTTCGGTGTCCACCATGCAGTGTTTGGAAGCCATATCAATAGCTGCAGCCAACGTTCCTGGCTCACCAAGAGCCCATGTGAGCAGCACGTCGCAGGTTCCGCATGCAGGGCAAGAATCGTTTCATGCCGGTGCACAAGCCGCACCCCATGAATTCTGTGGTTCGAGACAACTACTATGACAGCGACAATCCGCGCATCGCGTCTTGGCGTGGATGGAAGCGATGTCTTGTGGACTCCCGGAATGTTGGATGGTTGAAAGTATATGTACTGTAGATCAAGTGATGCAATATGATCTTCAAAAGTATTTCGCTTGTTCCTTCGTTCCTTTGTTTGGGTTGCAGTTGCTGGATTTGTGCAAACAAAAACCGCCCAACTTGTGCGGCCATTGCCTGGTAGCATCATGTATGCAGCACGAACCAATAAGTGGTTGAACGGAGCGCAATTTCAGCAACACTATAGATATCTATGGGTTATGTACTATGGTTTATTGCTCAGCATCAGAGAAAATCCATGAAAAACCAGCCATGGCCCATAGATTCCATAGATGGTGGTTTCCTAAGTCATGCTGGTAGCCCTGTTCATCATCCATTTGTGGGATTTTCCATGAAAGAAACCAACGGAGCGCTACTTTTTTTGGGGGGATCCCCCATGACTGGGATGACCATCCAGGTATGGAACGAGCTTCGCGAGGGCTGGGAGGTGTTTTGGTACGAAGCTTGGCAGGTTATCAGATGTTTTCGGCTTTTCGAGGGATGGGATAGGTCAAAATTATAGTCATCTTATCATCATAATAATCATATAATATTGTTGATATATCATTATAATACAATATAGTCATCTTATCATTATATCAGTATACTCATCTTATCATCAATATTGTTATATTCATGTTAATATTCATAGACATAGACACATGCACATACACGCACATACACGTACATACGCACATATACACATACACATACACACGCACAATCACGCACATATACACATACACGCAGATACACACGCACATATCCACATACACGCACATACACACATGCACACATGCACACATACACAAATATACACATACACAAATATGTCACAAATCCACCCGCGGCGAAGGTGCCGAGGCGTGGTAGTTTAGGAGTGGAAGCGACAGGACAGATCTGTCAGACTGGTACAGCTTCAGCTGGGGGGGCGCATTTTCGACAGAGCAGCACGGGACTGGTAATTTGCACATTTGCAGTTCGGCACAACATCGCCGAATGCACCGTTTCGATCCGACATGGCCACAACATCGGCTCCATTTGGGCTTAACTTCGTATATATTTCAATCTGTCTTTATCGATAGACTTCTATTTTCTATACCATGACACCACACCGCACCACACTCCATCCCATTCCATTCCATACCATTCCACTCCACTACTCACTACATTACAGTAGATTACATTACATTGCATATTTACATACGTAGATAGATAGTTAGATAGATATTACCCCCGAGAATGGTGGTTTAAGATAGTAGTTTAAAGTTCAAAAAATGCACAATTTTGTGGGTCCAGTGGTACCCATGGTACCCCAGCAAATATTTTTGCATGATTTACTGGCATGACCACTGGCATTTTTCCGAACGGATATGTTTGATAGAATGACATGCTGATGGCTTGGAATGTTTCAGATGCCATGGATGCCATCTTTGAAGCGGAGTCACCTTAGAGGAATGGACTGGCGTTTAAGATCTGTCGGTACACAAGATGGCAATGCAAAGTCCTCCATATGTAGATGCTTTGGCACTTGAGAATGGGGATAGTTCATTGCCAGGTGGTGCAAATTACCAGAGGGTAACATCATGATGACAAGCATCCTTATCAACCATGTTGAGACCATTGCCAGGTGAATTCCGGAGATTTGCCGGTCATGGCTAGGCCAGGGGTAAAGAATGGTAAAGAGTCGTAAAATGTTTCTTCAATGACTACGGAGGGTGAACTCCTTATCAACAAATATGTTTCTTCCATCGTTAATGATGTTAATGGTAGTTCAAAGTTCAGAGTGGCTGTATAAGTCCCTATTAAATCCTATCAACAAATGTGTCGCTCTTATTTCCAAGTTATGGATGGTGAAATCCCTCTCAACAAACCAGTATCGAGCGATTGAATTGGCCACTGCTCCAAGGAAAATCAGAAACTCACAGCAAAACCATTCCCTGTGAAGAAGTACGGCCTTGAACGCGCCAAAGTTGAAGCGCCTTGGTGCAACAAAGAAGATCCGGGAGTGGCAATGTTGCATTCACCTGCACATGATTGCACGGAAGTGATTGATACAAGCGTTCGAAAGGATTGAGTTGAATGAATGATTTCTACTTCAGTGATGTTTGAACTGACTGCTTGCAAAAACTCTTGTGTTCACGACCCGAGGCGTTTCAATTCTACAGTGAGTTGGAGGCTGCAAAGAAGACGGGTTCGGAGCCTCTGGTGGAAAGCCATCAATTCGTCGTCAAATTGTATGACAGGAGTTCCCAGATATTTCCGGACTTTAGAGGGTTATAAAATGTTATAATATGTTATAATATAATTGTTGGTTGGTTGAGTAGCAATTGGGATCCGCCAAAGGTGATTTTTATTGAGGAAATGGACCAAGAAAGCCTGCATGAGGATTTATTCATCATTCTCCCAAGGCCCGCAGAAACGGATTGAGCCACCACAGGAAGGCGTCACTTGGCCATGAATAGGGGAAGTTGTTCAGGCTAAGAATACATATAGGATCATAAAGGCCTCTCCGGATATAGCCTGATCATCCTAGATCCGTTAGATTTTCAAGTGAGTTGTTGTAAGTTCTTTCCTAGATGTCCACGGTTTCTAGCTGCAGCACGAAATAAAGCAAGTGGAGCCTCTTTCAGGGTCTAGGCTTTTGGAGTTCCACGGTTGAATCCACATCTCATCTCTGTTGATTGTATCCCACCTTGATGTTAAATACCCAACACATTCCATCCATTTTCTCTTCAGATTCCATGTCCATTCATCACCCGGTTGTGTTGTTTGTTGATTCCACCACAATTTGCAACCATGCTCGTTGATTTTGCATGAAATCCGGATATGACCTGACGAGACCCTTGGATCCTCCAGGGTTTGATCTCCGCGGTGACCAAGGTCTTCTATGATCGGCGAATGCAGGGCTGGGTGACTGGGTAGATAAGGGTTGGGGAAATTTGGGTTTCATTCAAAAACCTCCATTGAGTTCGGGGATTTTCCAGCTAGCCACATTTAATTACCGAAGAGATCCGGAGAGTATAGCTAATTAAATAGATGTATATATTATGTAATGTATTATATATATATATTATGTATAGCTAGTTAAGAGGTTTCATGAATCAAAAACGGGGGTTCACACATCAAAATCGGGATTCTTCAAGTTCTTGGCCAATCAAAAAGGCGGTGTAATCAACAAACGTTGAGCTCCGACCAAGAGGTGTTGAAATTTGACACAAAATATGCATGTTTCCAGAAACCGAGCGTATTTTGTCCGTATTTTGTCGGGCGACCTGTGATTTCCACCCAAACCCAGTTTGGGAGTGATTCAGAGATCCTGCACCCTTGGACCCTGGAATTTTCACAAAGCGAAAGGCCGGTAAAATATGCGAAAGGCTTCGTTTGGCTTCATCCTTAGAGCAACAAGGGGCCAGTGGCTTCCAAGCTACCTTGGGCTTTTTCATTCACATTCATTTACCATAAATTTGAAGCTGATCTCCGAGATTACATGTTTATTTTTGTCCAGGGTGGCACACACCAGTGTATGGATCAGACTTGGGGTACTCAGCCAGAGTCCTAACGAATTCATTGAAGCTACAAAATTGGCAATTCTTCTATATTGTTAGTATCTTAAATAATCTATTTTGATCTATTTAATGGGAGGTTACCAACCACTTCCCAGCCGGTCACCCATGGCTCGGGCCATTCTCGTTTTTCAGGTGAGCCTCTTTTGGAGAGACGGTCGCCCGCAGTCGCGGTGCTTCTCTGCGACGAAGTATGGCTTTGAGGGTTCGAAGATGTTGGCCATGGCCAAGCAGCACCGTGGTGAAATGGGCGGTCGAAATTGGGAACTCCAAAGGCCTAGCCGCCTTTGATGAAATCCGCAGGGGATGGGTATTTGCCAAGCTGGTGTAATCTTCCAGCGCAGGTATGGAAAAAAAAATGACTTAACCAGCAAAAGAAAAATCATTATGATCTAATCTAGCAATATATCGCCCCAAAACATGGACCGAAAGTGGATAGCTAGCACTGGAACTTTGATCAAAATCCATAGGTTGGAGGATCCAGAGAAGTCATTTGACCCATACCCCCAAAAAAAATGGAACTGATCCCTTGTTCGTGCCCAACAGAATGACCAGCAGTACCCGGATTGCTGAAGTCTGAAGTGCCTTCAACTTTCCAAAGACTTGCTTGGACCAGGTCAATTCAAGAAGCACAGTTCTACTATCGCCTCAGCCATCACCGAAAGTTGGAGATTCACCAAACTCAGCGTTTTCCGGGGAGAACTGTGTGAATCTCATATTATCTCATGTTCATGCCTTGTGTTTCCATGAAGCCACAGAGTTAGTCATCATATTTATCATATTTTATCATACTTCAAGAATTTCAGGACCACCGAAACGATTTTGAGAACTGCCCCGAATCCCATTTTGTTGAGATCTGCCTGACAGCATCACACAGCAAGATGGGATCTGAGGAGCGATCCCGTGAATGGTGTGTTGCCAGTGCAAGGTGGAGCAGGAACTCCCATCATCCTGAAGGCCCAGCCTGAGCCACACCATAAGGTCACCACAAAGTCATAAGGTCACCCTGATTGAAGTAAGAAGGGTCATTCCAAAGCATAGCTGATGTCCGGTCAATGTCCAGTTTACGAATTTTTGTATATGTGTCCTAGATTTCAAAACATTCCCCAATGGTTTGGCCGGAGTTTTTGTTGAAGTTGCCCAACTTAAAGTTCACACGGTGTCCATCAATTTCTTTGGCAGGAGAAGGGGAAGACTTCCTACGAGAACAAGCACCTTGGCCTAACACTCATCAAATTCAGGGCCATTTCAACCCGCAAAATTTGCCAAACAGGGGGTGGATTCCCCACAGAACCGAGGTCTTGCCTCTCTCATTCATAGGATTTCGTCATTTGATGATGAAGCATCCCTATCTATTGCAGTTCAGGAATGTTCCGGAGGGAATACCGTCGAACTAACAGTTTGCTATGGAAAATCCATGAAAATCCCCCATGTTTGGATGGGTAAATCTAGTAAATCATCTATAAATGACCCATTTGTCCATCGCAAAAAATGAACCTCCGTGGTGCTCTAGGTACAAAGGTGGACCCACTGGCCTGAAGTACAAATAGAGTGAAGATGCAAAATAGAGTGATGTTAAGAAATATGAATAGATTACTACTGGATGATTTATTGTTTTATATTATCTATGTTGGGGGAATTATTGTTGAATCGGAAAAAAAGATTCGAAATTAGTCTTGATCTAAATTCTTAATATTATATAGGAAATTAAAAAGGAAAATTATATTTAAATTAAATGATATATTTAGGAACACAACGAAAAATTAGAATATATCCTATTTAAAATATTGCAAAAATAATAATAATATAATTAGTTTATATTATTTTTATTAATTATTATTATTAATATTTAGATTTTAATAAATTTATATTATATTTAATTATTATTAGAATTAATTATATATATATATTATTTAAAATATATATAATTATATTTAATATATATATATATATTTATAGTATTTTATA